GCCCTGCCAAATATTTTGCCGCGACGAAGCGCCGTGAAGAGCATTGCAGCGATCGATCAAAATCCACCGCGCGCTATCATCCCGATGGAGGGAAGAATCGTCTTCTCTTCTTACCTCTCACAGCGCCATCGCCATAGCTTCAATCGATCGAAAACCCCATTTTCCAGGCAAACTTTTTTTCTACTTGCCAACGTGGCAGCCAGTTTAAATTCTTTTACCCCTTCCAGTACAAACACTTTTCCGTTTAACCCTTTTACCGGTGCTTTCGACACAACCTTGTGCGTGTGTGGAAAACCTATAATCGTTCCTTCTTCCACTGTAGCGCGCGCGCGAGCGAGCGAGAGTGAGAGAGAGAGAAAGAGCGCTAGGGCAGGGCGGGCGAGGGCGAAAGGAAGAAAGATTAGAGCGCACAGATTACTTCTCGGCTTGGATCGATCTTGGAGCAGCTGGAATGGCGCGGCATCCTCTGCGCCTCCTGGTGATGAGCTATAGCGGCTGGATTCGACTCCATATCCACGCATTTTAGAGGTAGCCGGGAGAAGAGGAAGAAGAAGAAGAAGTAGAACAAGGAATCACAGCGCTTCTGTGCTGCATAGCTAGGGTCATTTTGACGGAGGTATAAGCGAGGTTTTGGGACAAGGAAGGAAACAAGGAAAGGGCCGCGCATTTCATGGCCAAGTCCAAGGTTGCAAGGAAGGTTGTGGAATCCTACACGATCAGGGGCACTCACAAGGTTGTCAAAGGTAAAGTAGTCAGTGATTGATTGATCGACTGCACAAAAAATCTCTTTTTGCTTCGCTCGGCTCAAAGTTTTTTGCTTTGCTTCTTCGCAGCTGGGGACACAGTTTTCATGCGTGCTCCCGATCCGGAGAAGCCTTCTTACGTAGCCAAGATCGAGAGAATCGAAGCTGATGCCAGGAACAACATCAAAGTTAATGTCCGCTGGTACTATCGGCCCGAGGAGTCCATGGGAGGGAGGCGCCAATTCCATGGAGCTAAAGAGCTGTTTTTGTCCGATCACTTCGACATCCAGAGCGCTGATACGATCGAAGGGAAGTGTACAGTTCACAGCTTCAAGAGCTACACCAAGTTGGAGAGCGTGGGAAGCGATGATTTCTTCTGCCGATTCGAGTACAAGGCGGCCACAGGCGGCTTTACTCCCGATCGTGTTCCAGTGTAAGTGCTCTCTCTCTCCCTCTGTCTCTCTGGCGTCTCGTTGACTAGTTGTGTTCTTATCAAGCTTCTCTTTCTTCTCTTGGTCTCGTTGTGTTCTTATCGAACTTCTCCTGTTCTCGTTGTGTTCGAACTTCTCTTTCTTCTCTTGTGTTCTTACCAAGCGCTTTATTACGTGAAGGTATTGCAAGTGTGAGATGCCATACAATCCGGACGATTTGATGGTTCAGTGCGAGTCCTGCAAGGATTGGTAAGTCCTCTTCATCCAAACGAGCAAAGTTTTGATGCAAAATACCTCCTTTGCGTCTCCAGGTTCCATCCGACCTGCATGAGTCTATCTCCTGACCAAGTCAAGAAGTTGGAATCGTTCCATTGCCCGGAGTGCTCTTCTTCTCCGCCCGACGAGAAGAAAACAAAGAAATCTTCTCCTCCACACGAGGCCAAGGTAGAAACACACTCCCCCTGTGCTCTCGTCTATATGACCGCTTTATTTTTTCTCTTTTCCAGAGCGAACCAAAGCGCCGGAAGAAATGAAAGGCTCGCTCGGCGATTACTACTTCACACAACGGAGTGATTTTGTCGGCTGATTAAGAGGGTTAGTCCTTGTTTTTGGCTTGTAAGATAGCTAGTCCTTAGGAGTTAGTGCGCAACACTCCGATGATAACCCTCTCTCTCTCTCTCTGTCCCTCCCCTCTCATCTCTCTCTGGAGTCGGCCTATATCTGTACCTATTTATCCCAAAGACTGTGAATAGCTTACAGAATTATATGTTAGCAAAGCGACGAAGCCATCTCTTTTCCTGGAGAAGACGAAACTTGTGAGAAAATTTCGATAAATTAGCTCATTTTACCTGTGTTTCACTCATCGTCTCAAGTTACTCACTCCAAGCGAGGCGAAGTGGAGCTGGAGATCTGAAAAAACGAAACTTGTGAGAAAACTTCGATAAAAAAAGCTCATTTTACCTGTGTTCTCTCCATGCCTCTCCCATCTCATCGTCTCAAGTTCTCCCACGGAGGTGCCGGGACGCCGCTGAGGCACAGCTTCTCACACTCGTCTCTCCTAGCCACCACGCTCTCCCAGGCTGCCTCCCAGGCACTCCCGGCGCTGGAAACGCTTAGCTCAAGCATCCACTGCCGCACTCTTTCATCGTCGCAAGGGGAGAGCTCGCCGTGGATCAAGCTGTGGAAACCAAACATGACGCGCAGCGCGTTGCCATCCCCCGATGCAAACCTGTGCATGGCCCCGAAGACGAGCACTGGCTCCGGCATCTCTGGAAGCTCGTCCCGGCCATGGCTTTTCCACCTTGCGTAGTACGTAGCGTAGCCCCGGAAATACGCACACCGCAGCTGCATTGTCTCCTCCTCGCTCAGCTCCATCTTTCTCATCTCCCTCTCCAGTTCCGAGACGAGCTCCACCAGCTTAAAGTTGGCGCCGCCACCCTCCTCGGATCGATTCTCGGCCTGATATCTCGCGGCGATTCCATCCAGCGGTGGCCTCGACTGGAGCAAGCATCTCTCGCAGTGGAGGCCGATCGAGAGGCAAGAACCCAGGCGCAGCGAGCAGTTGTAGTAGGACTTGAGCAGCTCCTCCCCAGCCTCCAAGTCGCGCGAGGCAAGGACGAGGATGATACCGCCGCGATGGCACCAGTAGACGTTCGGTGTGCACGAGTGATTGATACAGAACGGCAGCGTGCAGTCGGCATGGTTGTGCGCTACCTCCTCGATCAAGGAGATTTGGAGCTCTTCAGTCACTTTGATTCGTGAGTTTGGCCTGAAAGCGTCGATGCGTGCAACTTCTTCCCCCATTGCGACCATTCTCGATCGAGTCCGTGATGATCCGGCGCAGGCTCTCACCAGCATTGTGATCTTGTCACCCCACTCTCGAGTAAGATGAAGGTTGTCCCAGCTGGGATTGCTAACGAGAAGAAGCTCCCCTCTTTTCGCGTCTCTGGTGATGAAGAGGCCAATGCCATCCGAATCTACTCGGCTCGGAGCCAGTTCCAGCGGACCGACGAAGTCTGCCATGGAATGGTCACCTTCCTGTCCAAGCAAGCGTGGAAGATCGAAAACGCCGTTCTCGCTCTGCTCTTTTCTGATGAGGGACTCTTGATACGCTTTCGTGATCTCTGCCGAGTCGGGGGAGAGCTCCATAGCCTGTTTGAGAACGTCGAACGCAATTGAGTAGTGATGGAGGCCCGTCAAAGCTTGTGCTTTGGTGAGCCAGCTCGCTGCATGGAAGCTTTCGCAGCAAGCCAGTGCCGCATCGGCGTCAGCGAAAGCCCTGTCATAGTGTTTTAACTGCAGCCACGCTTCAGCTCGGCTAGACAAAACCTGGAAGAACACAAAGAAAAAGAGGTATTGTCAAAAGAAAGAATTGCAAGGAAAGAACTTACCAGTGCGGATCCCTGGCCTTGAGCCGCCTGACAGAAACTGGATTAGACACCTCTGGCAACTTCAAGAAATTCCAAACTCACACCCCAATGCTGTTGCTGTAGAGCTCGATCGCTGCTCGAAAGTTTTTTCGCTCCACCTCTTTGTCTCCCAGCTCTCGCAGCCATGCAGCGTCTCGGCAAGCCATCAGTTCTGGAAAATACGCCACCACCTCAACCAAGGAAGGGCTCCGGACTTGCATCATTGAGATCATCCGAGAGCTTGGGTCTTTGATCACAACCTCGGCTCCCCTGGGAAAAACTCTCGTCACGTCTTCCTCAGGAAGTAGAGCGAACGGAACCATCACGCACGAAGCCATCCCTCGCTCGTCCTCGAGAGCAAACACGGCCGTGTTCCGGTGTATCGGCCTCCCACTAAAAATCCACGAGAACTTCTTGCTGCTGGCACCGCCTTCCACACACCTGATCGAATCGATGGTGCGGCCACGGACTAATTTCCCCTGGAATCCAGATTCTGAATCCTTGCCGATCTCTCCAACGCTGCTGCCGCGCGGCATTCCTGCTGGCCCCTTTCCCAGCTCCCCGATTTGCGGCAGCCCCATCAGCTCCATGGTAGCATCAGTCACCCGATAGCTCGCGGCACTCGCGAGGCGCCACATACCTGACAGGCAATGCCGCGCATTCTCCCGGAGCGCAAGCAAAAGCTCCATAGCCAATAAACCCTAAGTACAAGAAAACCCTAATTTTGAAAATGCGCGCGTCTTTGGTTGACTATCTTTGACCTCCTCCCTTTTTGCATTTGTCGGTGGAGCATGCATATAAAAGCAAGGCCGCATTCTTTCTTTTTTAGGGTTCCCATAGTTTCTCTCTTACTCGAAATGGCTTCGTTCGCAGATGCCCACAGAGATTTCTTTCACTCAATCTTCAAAGCGTCTTGTAACAAGGCAACAGTCGCAACAGCAGAGCCAGATTTGAGTACAGTTGCAAGAGCGGAGCCAGATTTGAGTCTTACGCTTGGGAGGAGGAGTTCTTCAAATGTTTTTATTGTGCATGGTAAAGATGAAAAGGATTGGTTGAGACTTGGGGTTCCAAACACTACAGTTTCGTCATTGCCAAGTGTTGCTGCTTCATCATTGTCAAGTGCTGCTGCTTCATCATTCTCAACATTAACTCCTGAATTAGAAAAGGTAGAGAAATCGTCAAACACAAAACCTCCTTTTCGTGAGAAGAGAACAAGGATTTCTTCCGACAAAAGCAATGATGAAGCTCCCATGGCATGTATTTTTTGTGGTGGTGCTGCTAGATTTGACTACTACAACAACAAGAATGTCAATCAGCCAAGGTTTCGGTGCCTGAAGTGCAAGAAGAAGTTCACTCCAGGCGCAAGTTTGAGGGGAGCACAGCGCAAGAAACTTGCAGAGCTCCACAGGATGACTCAACAAGTTTGTAAATTTAACACATCCACCAAAGAATAATTTTGTTACCAAAAATCCTTTTTTTTCATGTTCTTGTGGAAGCAGTGATTTGTAAATACAGAAATATCACCCAAAGAACAATTTTTGTCACAAAAACTCTTTTTTTCTTCTTGTCTTTGATGCTTGGATCAACTCAAGCTCCTCTTCCACCAGTGACATTATCCATGAGCACATAAGCTGCAGCATCTTGATCATTCAGCTCAACCAGGCGCTCGAACGCAAGCTTCCCGACCACCAAGTTCTTCCACTTGCAGCACGCCCCTAGAACACTCCTCCACGCCACGGACTCTTTGTAGTAACTGGCAGCCTCCACCGGCATCGACTCCGCCATGGCTACCGCAGCGTCCATCTTATTCGCACGGGCAAGCGCATCCACCATGACGCTGTAGTGGTCGACCCCGGGAGCTATCCCGTGCTTGGAACTCATCCCCTCGAGGTACTCTCGGGCCTCCTCCACAAGGCCAGCGTGACTGCAAGCCGTGAGGAGGCACACGAAAGTTGTAGCGTCGGCTTTCACCACAGCTTCGCGTTGCATCCTCTCGAAGAGCGAGATGACGAGCTTGCTGTTTCCCTGCCGAGCGTATCCGGCCATGAGCGAGTTCCAGGCGACCAGCTCTCTGGAAGCCACCGCTAGCGAGTCGAACAGCCGCTGGGAGTGGACGATGCTACCGCTCTTCGCAAAGACGTCGATCAAAGAGTTGGCTAGAACAGCATCCACGGCCTCGAGTCCATACAGCCGGCATGCTAGTGCATAGATCGATTTGCCAGAGTCCAAGTTTGCGCAGCTTCCACAGGCCTTGAGAGCAGTAGCAAGAGTCTGGACGTCTAGCCTTGTGATGCCTTGGATCTGGATCATTGCTGCAAAGACTTCCAGTCCCTTGTCACCATTGCCACTCTCCACATATCCCAGCACGAGTGAGGTCCACGAGAAGACGTCCGGGGCAGCCATGCGGTCGAAGACCCGTTGCGCATCCGGCATGCTCCCACACTTTGCGTACATGACGATGAGCGCGTTTCCCATGAGGCAGGAGCTTTGAACGTCTGTGACAGCTTGAGCTTCTGAGTGAAGTGCCATGCCTCGACTCAAGTATCCCAGAAGCTGATCCTGGTTTCCTTGCTCGTTATCTTTCTCTGCTAGACCCGTCACCGCCTTGAATGCCGCAACGAATGCAAGCTCGTCCGGTTGACATCGACGAGCCTGCGACTGCATGCACTGAAACAAACTCAGTGCCTTCTCTTCGTGTCCACTGTCAACATAGCCAAGCATCAGAGAAGTCCACGAGACGACATCACAGTAAAGCATACCTTCGAAAATCTTCTCCGCATCGTCAATGCTTCCACATCTGATGTAGCAATTCACGAGAGTGCTGGCCACGAAGATGTCCGAAAGGAAACCACTCTTGGCAGCTTGAGAGTGAAGAGCCACGCACTTGCCAAGCGACAAAACCTTGTTGTCCGAAAGGCTCGAGCAGGCTTTCAACGCAGCAACAAAGGACAGACCATCCGGTTCTACGCGTGCTTCCACCATCCTCCCAAACAAGTCGAGGCAAAGATCCGGCTCCCCGTTCTCGACGTAGCCCAGCATCATCGCATTCCAAGCCGCTAAGTCACGCAGCTCCATTCTCTCAAACACCCTGCGAGCGTCCACAGTGCTCCCACACCTCGCATACATGCTGATCAGCGAGCAAGCTACGTGCTTTTGCCTGTCGAAACCATACCTCCCAGCGTGAGAATGGACACAAGCTCCTCTCTCCAATGCCGCCACCTTGACGAGCTTTCCATGATCAAAGCTTTTGCCCTCTTCCCTCACAGCCAAGCCGGAGCAAGCCTTGACAGCAGCCACGAAAGTCCGAGCGTCAGGAGCTACTCGTGAGTCCTCCATCCGCGCCAAGAGATTTAAAGCCATGGCATTCTCCCCGTTCTCCACACACCCCGCCATCAAAACCGTCCAGGAAACTGTGGTGTGATGCGCCATTCTCTCGAAAGCTCGCCTCGCTTCCACCAAGCTCCCACATTTCCCATACATGTCCACCACTGTATTCGCCACCGCGACGTTTGCATCGTCTCCTCTCTCGCTGATCCCCGCGTGGAGCACTCTCCCCCTTCTCAAATCCCTGTCCCTGCCGCAGGCCTTGAGCGCCGCAATAAGACCCGCTATGTCGCTTGGCGATGATCTCTCCCTCGTGATTTCCCCACAATCCACTGTAGGCCCGAGCGCCGGCTTCCTGGTGATGGATCGAGGCCGCAAGATCCTGAGAGCCAGGCACCCGGGCATTCCATCGCTCTCAACCTATTTCTCCTCAAAACCCTAGATCTTTTTAGGGTTCTTGAAAGAAACCCTAATTCCTCATCCTTCCTAACTGCCACAAGAAACTTGCCTTGATAGATACATTGCATACTGTTCTAATTTCCACCCTCAACCACCCTCTGTGGACGTTTCATCTACAAAGTTGAAAAGGCTTACACCAAACCCTGCTACTGCTGTTGCTAATGCTGCTGTATGGCTCTCCAAATTGCGCCTAGTCCTGTAGGAGGAGGTGAAATTGTCACGTGGCGCCAAATACCTCCTTGTCACGTGGTGCCAAATTCTTGTCACGTGGCAGCAGGGAGAAGAAGCAGCAGTTCTAGATGATGGTTGTCATTGCCTGGATTGATCGATCACGCAGCGCGTGATGAAGCTAGAGAGAAACAGGTTGTAGCTCCTCTTTACTAGCCCTCCAAATGCTTGATAGAGGTCTTTAGCTGCATTCTTACAAGCTCACCAAGCTTCCAACCTGTGCCCTTAGCTTCATTCTCGCAGATACCCAGCTCTGAGAATCTTTCAAATCCAACCAGCTTGATACCAAACTGTATCTATACGTTTGTATATACGTGCCCTAGAATATAGTAAGCACTGAAAGTGGAAAGGACCTAGTCCTAAATGGGGGTTGCCGTGTTTCCCCAGCCAACCATGAGCTATATTGGGCAACCACTCATCGAAAACACTTTTAAGAAGGTGGTTTAACCCAATGGAATATTTCGGTGGATCTCCTTTTCTTGCCCTAATGCCACGTGTTAGGGCTGAACGTCTGGCATATTCCTTTTTAATCCAATGGGAGACTGACACGCATGAGATTATATCATTTACGCTAGGTAGAAGCTTCAATTTTCCTGTCGAGATAAGCACTGAAGTGGCTGAAATGTCTGGTTTGTAAAAACAATGCACGAGGATTGCCTATTTCCCGGATAGAATTAAATCGGGGCCCAACGACCGCGGGCAATAATACTGGTGCGAGAAAATATTCGTCAACACCGGCGGCCACGATTTGGCCACCTGGGCTTTTGGAAGGTAAGCCACGTAAGCGGGTCAGGGGCTTGCTAATTTGGGACGTAATTGGCGGTGCAATGGAATTTAAGAGAATGCGCCGCGCCAGACCACCTTGTCATCTGCTGCATTCGTCGGCGGTGTTGGATAATTGGATCGATTGGATCGATCGCTTTTCTCGTGAGGTAAGCGATCGAGAGATCGTAGATTTCGCGCTCACGCACTTCTCGCATTTCCAGGCTGAGTTCTAGAGCTCCGGCGGGAGCAGGAGGGAGAGGGAGATAAGCATGGAGTTTGGGAGAGCAACCAGAGTAAGCGATCGTTGCTTTGCTCGAATGTGGGCGATTTGATCCTCGCGGTCGCGAGTGTTTCCCATCGATTTCTCGATCCGGACTGACGTTTTCCTCTCCACAGGTGGTCGACGAGGAGGCCGAATTCGAGGCGGAGGCGGCCGCGGTGGAGGCATGGTGGCGATCCGATCGCTTCCGCCTCACGCGACGCCCCTACACCGCCCGCGACGTTGCCCGCCTCCGCGGGACTCTCCCAATCCACTACCCCTCCAACGAGATGGCCAAGAAGCTGTGGTTCATCCTCAAGAACCACCAGGCCAACAAGTCGTGCTCCCGGACCTTTGGAGCTCTCGATCCAGTCCAAGTCGCCCAGATGGCCAAGTACCTCGACACCATCTACGTCTCGGGCTGGCAGTGCGCATCCACCGCCTCCACCTCCAACGAGCCCGGCCCCGATCTCGCCGACTATCCCATGGACACCGTCCCAAACAAAGTGGAGCATCTCTTCATGGCGCAGCTCTTCCACGATCGCAAGCAGCGGGAGGCTCGGCTGAGCGTCGGCAAGGAGATCCGATCCAGGACCCCCTACGTCGACTATCTCGCGCCTCTCATCGCCGACGCTGACACTGGATTCGGCGGCACCACCGCCACTGTGAAGCTCGTCAAGATGTTCGTGGAGCGCGGAGCCGCCGGGATCCATATGGAAGACCAAGCCTCGGTGACGAAGAAGTGTGGTCATATGGGTGGCAAAGTTCTCGTCGCCACCTCCGAGCATATCAATCGTCTCGTCGCTGCGAGGCTTCAGCTGGACGTGATGGGAGTGGAGCAAATCCTGGTGGCGAGGTCCGACTCGGTGGCTGCGACGCTGCTCCAGAGCAACATCGATCCCCGAGACCATTACTTCATCCTCGGTGCGAGCAATCCGGCTGTCAAAGGCAAGCCGCTCGTCACGGTCATGGCCGAGGCCCAGGCGATGAACAAGTCCGGGAACGAGCTCCAGGCGATCGAGGACAACTGGTTGGCGCAGGCGGACCTCCGGCTCTTCTCGGACGTGGTCGCGGACGCCATCCGGAAGATGAACATTGCCGAGAATGTCAAGGTGGCGAGGCTGAATCGCTGGTTTGACAGCGTCGAGGGGCTCTCCCATGCTGATGCTCGAGCTCTGGCTGCCACTCTCGGCGTCACCGACGTCTTCTGGTGCTGGGATCTTCCGAGAACTCGGGAAGGATTCTACCGCTTCCAGGGGAGCACCAAAGCTTGCATCGCTCGAGGCTGCGCCTTTGCTCCCTATGCCGATCTTCTCTGGATGGAGACTGCTACTCCGGACGTCGTCCAGGCTCAAGACTTTGCCGAAGGTGTCAAGGCCAAGCACCCGGAGATCATGCTCGCGTATAACTTGTCACCGTCTTTCAACTGGGACGCTGCCGGGATGAACGACGCTCAAATGCAAGAGTTCATCCCCCACCTGGCGAGGATGGGATACTGCTGGCAGTTCATCACTTTGGCTGGTTTCCACGCGAATTCTCTGGCTGCTGATACGTTTGCTCGTGACTTCAAGCAGCGTGGCATGCTGGCTTACGTCGAGGATATCCAGCGCCAGGAGCGTATGAACAACGTCGAAACTCTGGCTCATCAGACCTGGTCCGGGGCGAATTACTACGACCAGCTGCTCAAGACGGTTACTGGCGGTGTCTCGTCCACTGCGGCGATGCAGAAAGGTAACAAAGAGTTCCATACGTTTCTCTTTTTCTCTGTGGTCCTGTCCTCTTGTTTTCTGGCTCGGAGAATCCGGGCGACTGTCTCGTTGGCTTTCGTCTCGTTCCCCGATTTGGATTTTGACGCTTCTCTTCTGCTGGTGTAGGTGTGACCGAGGACCAATTCAAGGATACTTTCGGAAGCAACTTGCAAGCCGGAGCGGAAGTGTTCGCCAAGTCCAAGCTGTGAGGCTGCTCTGCCCGTTCCGAGTCTATGGATAATGACGATACCCTTCGGTGTTGAGTAATAATAATGTGGCTTGCTTGAGAAACTGCCAAATGAAGCCTGCTCTCGAGCAGACGCCCAGGAATTGTATATATATCCATCCATTCTTCTATTGCGCAATTCATCTGGGATAAAAACAAACCAAAACGTCTGATCAGTAGGGCCTGAACTTACGTGCAGCTCGCATTTGCGCTATTTTCTTCTTATCTTCTTGGAACTTGAGCTGAAGTTGGGCCACCTCTGATGAATCACAAGCCAAGGTCAGGAAAGGCAACATATCGGTTGTTTCATTACCGTTTCGGTGCGAGTCTCTCTTTTGGAATTTGTAGAAATCATCCAGCCCCTGCGTCTTCTTCTCGGCATTAGCCGCGACAGCGGCATGAACAGCACCGACAGCAATCCCAGAGGTAGCGTCTGCGCTCCTCCTTTTCCCTTTCTGGCGAGTCACGACTGTCCAGCCGTCGCCACTGGCAGCAACTTGTCGTTCTTTACGTGCCTGGTTTGAATAAGTGAATGGAAGTTTGAGCAAAATTGGAACATCTCTACATCCACAACACTTACTTGCTCTTCGCGTTCCTCGTAGTCAGCTATGAACGAGTCGAGCTGCTCCTGTAGCACATGAATACCTGGCCTACGTGCATTATATTCTGCTATCCATTCTGCAAAAAACAAAGAACTTCTTAGAGACGAGAAACCCAAAAGGAAAAATGGTAGAGACTCACTCTCCATTCCTTGAAGTGTTTTTCCAGCTTCGCCATCCCCAGAACCTGCACCACCGGAGGACGCAGGGACTACGGGTTCCACCTCCTTTTTCTTTTTCTTCAGCTTCTTTTCTAGCTTCTGCTGGTTTCCATCCTCAACGAGCTTTTTCTTCTGCTTATTCAGTGCTTTTTCTACCTTCTCCTCGTGTTGTCCATCCTCAATTTCCTCGACAACCTTCTTCTTCTTCAGCGTCTTTTCCTCATGCTCGTTTTCTCCATCTTCAGTTTCCTCGACAAGCGTCTTCTTCTTCTTCTTCAGCGTTTTTACTACCTTCTGCTCGTTTTGTCCATCCTCAGTTTCCTCGACAAACTTCTTCTTCTTCTTCAACGTCTTTTCCACCTTCTGCTCGTTTTCTCCATCCTCGATTTCCTCGACAAGCTTCTTCTTCTTCTTCTTGAGCGTGATTTCTAGATCGCTGTCATCCTCCTCAACAATTTCCTTCTTCTTTCCTAGCTTCTTCTCGCTAATCTTCTTCTTCTTCTTCAGACGATCTCCATCCTCATTCTCGCTAGTTCGCTCCGGCACTGGAACCAGATCTAAGCTCCTCTTCTTCTTCTCACTCGAAATCTTCTTCTTCTCCGCTAACAATTTCCCTCCCTCCAAGACCTTCTTCTTGATCTTCTTCTCCTTCACTAGATTTACCTCACTCCGGCTCGCATTTTTCTCGCTCTTGCCGGCGATCTTCTTCATGCTAGCGACGCCACGCGCAGCGCTCTCACGCCATACCTCCTGTTCCCGCCGATAAACCCTAACTAAAGCCCCAACATGTCATGGTCTCTAGGGTTTATGGCAAGCTGCCAGTAGGACGGAGGCTTCCTCGACCACCGTCGCTGGCATTCGATCGCGCTGCCAGAGATCCGCAACAGCAATCGCTCAGATCAGCTCTGCAGATCGACGCCGAGCAATATTTCCAGCATCCATCCCCGGGGCCGCTTTCTCCAGCGATCTACGCATCCCTGCTCCGGCGATGCGCGAGTGCGCAGGCGCTGGCCGTTGGGAGGAGGATCGATGCCCATATTTCGAGCTATCATCGCGATCCAGGTACTTTTCTTGGCAGTTTGCTCGTCCAGATGTATGGCAAGTGTGGAGACATCGACAGCGCGCGCCGGGTTTTCGATTCGGTGGGCGCCAAGACGGCATTCACTTGGAATGTGATGCTCGCAGCATATGCCCAAAATGGGCATTACAATCAAGCACTGGATTTGTTCCGGGAGATGGGATCCAGACACAGGAATCCGGAGGAGAAGCCCAATGCCATCACCTTCTCGACTGTGACCAACGTCTGCTCGCTGTCTGGGGATCTAGAGGCCGGGAGAGCTCTCCATGCTCGAATTCTAGACAGCGGAGTGGAGCTTGATGACTTCGTGGGGACTTGCCTCATCAACATGTATGGCAAGTGTGGGAGCTTGGAGGACGCGAAGAGATTGTTTGAGGCCTTGCCAAGGAGGAGTGTGGTGGCTTGGAACACCATGCTCGGCCTCTTCGTCCAGAAGGAACGCTGCGAAGAAGCTCTTAGTTTTTTCAGAAGGATGCAAAGCTCGGAGACAGTCGTCATCCCGGATTCAGTGAGCTATACAACTGCGCTGAGAGCTTGTTCGCTGCTGGAAACTTTGGAGGATGGGAGATCAGTCCATCGCGACTACTTGGCCAGTGGAATCAAGCCGGACGTAGTTTTTGGAAACACGCTCGTTAAGATGTATAGCGTCTGCGGCAGTGTGGAAGAGTCGAGGTACGCTTTCGACGCCATGCCGGAGAAGAACAGCGTCTCCTGGACAACCATGTCCGTCACATACACTCAGAGTGGCCGCCATCGAGACGCGATGGAGCTCTACTGGACCATGAACTTGGAAGGCGTGAAGGCACACCAGGTGGTATTTCCAAGCGTTCTTAGCGCGTGCTGGGAGCTGAGACAAGGCAGAGACATCCACGCTCGGGTAGTTGCCGAAGGTTTTGATCGAGACACAGCCGTGGGGAATGCGCTAGTGACGATGTATGGGAAGTTTGGGGAGCTCGACGATGCAAGGAGGGTTTTTCATGGCATTCCTGAGAAGACGGTCATTTCCTGGACGTCCATGATCGCGGTAAATGCTCAAAACGGAGAATGGGGGGAGGCCTTTCGGCTGTTTAAGACGATGAAGAGCCGGGGTGGTGTGAGGCCGAACGCCGTGACTTGTCTCATCATCCTTGACGCCTGCTCCGACGTTGGGACGGTAGGAGATGGCAGAGAAATCCATGCCGAGATAAAAGCCGGTGGATTGGACTCGCAACTCCGGGTGAACAACACGCTTGTCAACATGTATGGGAAATGCGGGAGCTTGGGCGATGCGAGGGAAGTTTTCGACAGCATGCGCGAGAGAAATGTGGTGTCTTGGACGTCCATGCTGGCTGCGTATACGCACCAGGGACACGGCAACGAGGCACTGGAACTATACAGGACTATGGAGCTTCAAGGCATGGAGCTCGACGACGTAGCATTCGTGAGCGTTTTATCAGCGCTCGGTCACGCAGGATCCGTCCACGACTGCCGGCAGTGCTTTATGACTATGGTCCGTGACCATGAGATCCAGACAATGGCAGAGCATTACAACTGCTTGATCGACTTGTTTGGTAGAGCCGGGTGGCTGGACAATGCCAAGGACTTGCTGGAAAGGATGCCGTTCGAGCCTGCTTACAAGGAGTGGATGACTTATTTGGGGTCGTGCAAGCTGCACGGCGACTCTCACCGTGCTGCAGATGCTGCCAGGCGATGTGCCGATTTGAGGCCAGGAGTGGCCCAACCTTTCGTCATGCTGCTCAGCACGGTTGGCAACGAGGACGACGCGGAGGAAACCGAATCAAAAGCCGACGCTCTCTAGTGGCAAGATCTGGATAAAGTCGTCACAATCAGGTACGTGATCTTCTTAGCTCGGAAGTTTTTACCATCGTGTTTTGCTTTGACGATTGCAGGCTGGCTGGAGCTTGGACGATGTCTGATTCAAAAATGAGGAGTAGAAAAGTCTCTGGAGCGAGAAACAGGCCAGAACAGGATTGACAAGGGTCCTTTCTGTGATTGAAGTTCCGGCCATTAAGAATGTGTTGGTGTCAGCTCTCGTCTCTCAGGTATATACTTGCTCACGTGTACATCTTCTCGTTGAGACACATTGCTGGTTGTTGAACAGAAATTATTTGCGCTGCGGCTACACGACAGTTTCGCTGTGGATACAGGGATCGATTGACGCTCGCTGGCTTTTTTATCTTCTCCTTTCCTTTCGGCGAGGTCCAAGTCCAATTGGACAATCTCTACTCTGAGAGTAAGCTATGCACACGCTGCTTTCACCACTCGTCATTGTTGCAGTTTGGTGGCCTAGATTTCGCGAGGAACTCAACCTTTAACTGCTAGCAGCATCGATCGCCGGTGTGGCACAATAACTCACTTGGGAGCCACAGAGCAGCAGCCAGGTAAAAGAAGAGGAAAAGAAGCAGAGGGAAAGAAACTCGAAGCGTGAGCTAGTCATCTTTCATACTGAGCTGTTTTTTCTTGTGCAGCGCAGCAAGATCTCTCTTCGCAGCACAAACAGTTATATACGAGCCTCCAAGCTCTCTCTTCTCTAAAGCCTGCGTCGCCCACAGCGCTGCGAAGTCCTGCATTCATCGCTCACAAGCTCGCCTTCTCTCTTGACGTGACCCCTTCGGTTTATCTTACTTTCTCTTCGTTCTAACGCTGTTTTCCACTTCCGTGCAGGGATCTGCGACGAAGATCTTCGCAAATTCCAGGCTATAAAGGAGCGAAGCGAGAGAGCTCTTAAACAAACATTCGAGAGGTATTGGGTGGAAGTCGACACTTTTGCTTTTGACGAGATCTAACTAGCTGATTGCCGGTCTATTCTATTCTATGCCGCTACAGTGGCTTTACTCCTTTTGTTTCAAGCTGGCGACGATTCATGCTACGCAACGATGCTCTCTCGCAACATCCTTTTTGTTTGGGGTGGCAGAGCCCACATTCCACCACCGCTCCACCATACTTTGATTGCCAGCAAATTCCATCCCAAATTTCAATGCGCGCAAAAGTAAAGGAAAAGATCAAAAGAGCTCTCGTAGCTTTCGAAACCTCACTGACTGATAGCTTTGATTGATCCATTGAGTGATAGACACCTCCAACATTGAACTATCAGCTTCCAAACAGCGATGCTAGTGTGTGCCGTACACAGAGTACGGCAGTAGAACCTCTTGCGTTTTTCTTTTATCCGCAGTGACGGCGCGTTAAAAAAACAGCGCTTGTTTCATGTACGGACCACTGACGGCGCTGTCTAACGGAATATTTTCTCTTTCTTTTACCCTTGTTACTTTACTTTTGCCATTTTAATCCTCTGGTCTCATCAAAATGGCGGATTCCCTTGCGCGGCGATGATCGGTGATGGACGCCGACGAGAATGCGATCGATCCATCTTCTCTCCCTCTCTCGCATCTTTCTTGATTGACTCCAGGGGAGCATTCTCGATCGATCGATCGATGGATGCACTATAGGTCGCAAGCAAGAGCTTCCATCGCTCCAGCGATGGAGATTATCAGCAGCAGGAGGGGCGTGGGGTACTGCTCCAGCCTCGGCGATCACAATCGGCAAGATTATCCCCTCTTTAGCCCTGTTCTTGATTGGCAAGAACAACAACGCGAGGATCAGCTGGAATTTCGATTCTTCTCATCCTCCTCTTGCCCCTCGGCAGCGCACGGCAATTGCGTGGAGATGATATCGGCCGACGAGATCTTCAGCAATGGCAGGATGCTCCCATGCGCTCTAGATTCCGCCAAGAACACCAGCAACAAGAATCTTTCCATGGCCATGAAGCGTCCCAATCCACACGCATCCACGCCGCCGCCAGCACCGCCAGCAGCGCCAATGCCAGCAACGCCAGCCACGGCCGCGAATCGATCATCGTCATCATCATCCACCGCCAGCGGCAACACGATCAGGAAGAAGAGCGCCGCGATGGTGGCCACCGCGACGTGCTCCAGCCACTGGAAAGAAATCTTCCATCGACTGCGCAATCCGGGGAGGCCGAGATCATCGTCGCAGTCCTCCTGCTACGAATCGTCCGGCTCGCTCTCATCGGACATGGACGCATTCCCCTCCTCGACTAGCTCCAGCAGCCGGAGGCTCCTCCTCCTCCCGGATCACCATGGCGAGGATTTCTCCCTCCCTCTCACCAAGGCCACCAAGGCGAAGAATTCTCACAAGGCCTCCTCCCAGCAGGGCATGGATCGTCACGACAAGAGCTCGAGCTCGAGGATGATGAGGGTCTCGTCGTTCGATAGCCGATCATCGAGTAGAGTATACCCAGGTGGTGGCGGCGGCGGCGGCGATCACCATCACTCTCAAACTTCGAGGAGATCCTTCTCCAGGGATCATCACAGCAGATCCTTGTCGTCCTTTCTCTACGATCAGCACCAGCAGCATCACCAGCACCACCATCGCCACCAATCCGTCACTCCGGTTCTCAACATGCCCGTTTGCATGGGCGATTCTCTCGTCGTCTCGGCATCGTCTTCTTCCTCGGGTAAGCTCGCCAAACTTCACAGCTCCAGTAGCAGAGCCAAAAGGAGATGAAAATTCTTTTCTTCCTGGCAATACAATTCTTGAGAGATGGATAGATAGAAACAAAGTTCTTCTTGCTTACTCTTGTGCTCATTCCTTTGGTGTGTAAAAAATTTCGCATTGTTTGTAACTTCCCATCTGTTCCCTGTTACTTGCCAAAAACTTTTCTGGTAATGCCCATAAATTTCCCAAACTTACCCAAATTTGGTCAGTGGTGGAGAGAGGAGTTGCTAATGTTTTTAATGGAGCTTCAAAATTTAGTGTCTCTCAGTTGCTGTGCTGCTGGAGCTCGGCTCATCGATCAATCTCCTACATTCGAGAAGAGGTCAGTGATTTCGCTAGAAAAGCAAAAAAAAAAGAAGGAAAAAAGGTACCAGAGAGCTCGTAGAGATGTCGATGGTGATTGCGAACGCTGCCACCTTTCTCGTCTTGGTCCTCTTTTCTCTGCGAGCTCCCACAGTTCTCAGCATCAACATCACCCAAGTTCTCGGCCTCTTCCCGGACTACACCAACTTGAACATGCTGCTGCTTCAAACCGGCGTTGCCAACGAGATCAACCAGCGTTCCTCCCTCACCATTCTCGCCGCCGAGGACTCCGTGCTTGATCCCATCCTGGATCAGCTCGCGCAGTCCGTCACCGGCCAGCAGATAGCTGACATCCTCCGCTACCACGTCCTGCTCGAGTACGAAGGAATCAACGACCTCCGGAGCCTCCCCAACAAGAGTAAGCTTTTCACCACCCTCTTCCAGACCACCGGAAGAGCCTCCAACAATGCTGGCTTCGTGAACATCACGGACGATCCCAACGGGGGCGTCTCGGTTGGCTGGCCCAGCTCCTCCACGGTCTTCAGCTCGGAGATCCTCGGCACTGTCAAGGAGCTCCCGTTCAATGTTAGTGTCGTTGACGTAAGCCGGGTTCTCGTACCGTATGGACTCCTTCCACCTTCGCTCATGCCGCTGTTTCTCGCTCCATCACCACCACCAGCTGAATCGCCATCACCGTCGGGAGGACCACCAGGACCTTCTTCTTCGCCTTCTCCAAGTTCTTGGATAAGTCCCTCGACGTCGCAGCAAGGAGGTAGCCCAGACAATGGCAATCCAGCCACAAGCTCCGCAGTAGCACCATCAGCCCTTTGGAATGTCCTTTCAGAAGTTGCTTTTCTACTTGTTCTTCTGATCGTTTGATGTAGATGACTTTCGTTCTATCCTCAAAAATAACAGGAACTTCGATCTGTCTCTAGCTTCTGGCAAGTTCCCTGGATGTTGGCCATCAAAGAATAGGCCGCAGCATTGCTCCCTTCCAACTTTAAGCACCATTCGAACGCAAGCTTCCCCACTGTAGTATTGTTCCACTTTCGGCACGCTCCAAGTACTATCGACCATGACAGTGCGCTCGCCTTGAAAGGCATAGCCTCCAGTACCGCGACTGCTTTGTCGATTTCCCCGGCTCGGCCAAGGATGTCAACCAGACAATGATAGTGCTCCATCTCAGCCTGTACCTCGTATCTGCTAGTCTGCATCAAGTGAAAGAGCCTCTTTCCTTCCTCGATCAAACCGACATGGCTGCACAGCGTCAAAAGGCACAAAAAGGTGGCAGCATTTGGTCGGGAGCCTTGGTCCTGCATCCCGTTGAAAAGCTCGAAGGCCCGGGTTGTGTCACCTTGCCGACAGTAACCAGCTATCAGCGCAGTCCAAACCAGCATGTCCACCGTCGAAGCTGAATCAAACTGGCAGCTCGCATCGACCAGCTTCCCACACTTCCCGTAAAAGTCCACCAGGCAGTTCACCAGCACGGCATCGTTTTCGAGACCGGATCTGCAAACCTCTGCATGGATTGCTTTCCCGACTTCTACAGCCACCAAACTGGAGCAGGACTTGAGAGCAGCCGCAAGAGTGTGAGCGTCCGGCTTCGTGCGCACGTACACAGCAGCAAACAGGTCCAGTGCAACCTGTCCCTCGTCAGATTCCGCGTATCCCACAATGAGCGTCGTCCACAGCACTGGATTGCAAGCGGCCATGCTGTCGAACACCTTCCTGGCATCCACCATGCTTCCACATCTCGCATAGAGATTCACCAAACTGCTCTCAACAAACGCGTCGGTTTCCCAGCCACTTCGTCTTGCTAGAGCGTGAAGTGACATCCCTCTCTCCAGAGCCTTCACCTTTACGGGCTTCCCGTCTATTCTCTGGCCTTCTTCACTGGCAGCCAGACAGGTACACGCCTTCAGCACGGGGACGAACGTTCGTGAATTTGGATCGCAGCACTGAAGAAGCCTCATTTCTTCAAACAGCTCCAGACACAGCTCTGCTTCACCATTGTCTGCGTAGCCTAATAGCAGCGCGTTCCATGACACCACAGTCGGAAACCTTAACGTGTCGAACACCTTCCGGGCATTTAGCATGCTTCCACACCGGCAGTACATATCGATGACCGTGTTTGCGACTTGCACAGAGTTTGACACCATCCTCGTAGCCTGTGAGTGAACGACCATTCCTTTCTCCAGCCATTTCACCTTCACTGTCCTCCCATCAATCTGCTTTCCTTCTTCTCTAGCTGCCATCGTAGCGCAGGCTTTGAGTGCAGCAGCAAGCGTCAGAGCATCCGGCAGTGTGCGTCCTTCACGTTTCATCCTGTGGAAGAGCTCCAAGGCTAGCTCTCCCTGTCCATTCTCCACATACCCCCGGATCAGCGCAGTCCACGAAACCACATTGTGTGAAGTTAAGGAGTCGAAAACCTGCTGCGAGTCCGCCATCCTTCCACATTTCGCATATGCGTCAACAAGAGTGCTGGCCACGTAAATCTCCCTGTCACACCCCATCTCTCGAGCTCTATCGTGCAAAGCGATGACCTTTTCCACGCACCGCAGCTTCACGAACTTCCCATCAACGTGACAACCATCTTCTTTTGCTGCCAGCATCGCGCAAGCCTTGAGTACCGCAACTAAAGTTCTAGAGTCTGGCTCGCAGTTTTCTCCCATTCCCATGCAGCCAAACAGCTCGAGTGCCAACTCTTCCTCCTCGTTCTCAGCACATCCCATGACCAAGGAGTTCCACGACACAACGTCTCGGAGTAGCATCCTGTCAAAGACCCGGCGAGCGTCAGCTAAGCTCCCACACTTGGAATACATGCTTACCATATTGTTGTGAAGGATATAGTCTCGGCCGCAAGAGCTTCCCTGGAACTGTGAGTGAAGCGCCATGGCTTTCTCCAAGGCCTGGGTTTTCACAAGCGTCCCATCGATCTCACAGCCCATTTCTTTCGTCGCCAGTCCAGCGCAAGCCTTGAATCCAGCCAGAAAGATCCCTGAATCCGGCGCTGCGATCATCCCGCTCAAGATAATCTCCACTCCCAGGCCCCCCTCTCCATTTTCCACATAACCCAGCACGAGCGAGCTCCAAGATCCCGCGTTGTGGCACGGCATTCGATCGAAGACGCCGCGCGCGAGATCGAGACTCCCGCACCTGGCGTACATTGCGACGAGAGCATTCGCGGCAACGATCGAGCCCGCGATTCTTCCAGCGGCTTCATGGATCCTCTTCCCGCGCTCCAAATCCCTGGAGCTGCTGCACATCCGGAGATCAAGAAGGAGCTTCGCTACATTCGTCCGCGCTACTCTCATAGCAGCGATCGCTCACCTCGAGGCGCGTCGCGGCGGCCAATCGGCTCCATCGCCACGAAATATTTCCCTCTAGACTATAAACCCTAACTTTTCGAATTAAAAGTCAATGGTTATAAAACGCGGTAGCTCCATTGTTAGCTACAAAAACAAATGAACTAGACAATGCGCTCTAGCTCCCGCGCGTAGCCCAGAGTTTGATTGATGAGCTGCAGCGATGGAATCTCCTTGCAAAGCGAAAAATCCTTCACCTTCTGGAAGTAGACGCATCGATTTCTTATCTCCCAGTCCGGATGCTCCTGCAAAAATGAAAGAGATGATATCGAGAGATCGCAACAGTGGAGAGAGAAGTACCTCACTGATGTAAGTCATGAGGTCCTGATCTCTCGTGAACTTGAAAATCGTCTTGGCATCGTCCAGCGTCAGGAAATCGTAAGCTTTCTCGCTGCAGCCAGCAATCTCATCCCTGGAACAAAATCGATATTGATCAAACTCTCCTCTTCTTTCAAAGGAAAAGAGAATCTTACCTCACGGTCTTGGCGAGAAGATTGATGAAGTAATTGTAGCTGTCGTGAGGAACCTTTCGGCTACGAAGGACGTGATTGTAAGCGCCCTCCATCAGTGCCTGCTCCAGCTCCACCACGATCTTGATGCAATCGTTCTTGAGAGCTTCCGGAGACAAGAGCTCGAGCTCGGTGTGAAACTCGGCGATCCTGTTCTGGACGAGTAGCCGCAGGAGATTGAGACCCAGCATGATGTACTCGAAATTCGATGGAGGAATCAGGTGTCTACAAGACCAAAGAAGAGAAAAATCGGCCCAAAGAAGAAAGATGAAAGAGCCACTCTACCTTGTGTCTGTGTAGTAAGGCTTGAGCTGGAGAAAATGGAGCTCGAAAGATTCCTGGTCTTCAGTCCCAACGCTCAAGAGCACAGCCTGCTCAAGGATGGATCCTAGAACAAAAAAAGAGAAAGATAAAAAACTTGGATGTGAAAGAGATTCTAACATAGATTGTTCTTACGAGCAAGCTTGAGCTCCTCGACTTGAGTAGAGGTGTGGCGATAGAGCGGTGGAAGGCCGGAGAACTCGGTGAGCTTGACCTGGAAGAGCTCGATTCTACTCAGCCGAGAGCCGCATTGGATCGAAATCTAGGAAGGAACTCACCTTGAGCTGATTGAGGAAGGCGCGCGCGCTGTCGAAATTCCGGGCGAAAATGCTCGTCTCGAGGCGCCCGTAGAGGCGCTGCGCCTCCAGGACCTTGCTGTTGCCGCTGTCCATCGCTCCCTCTCCCACTCTCCCCCAAACCCTAACTTTAGGTTAGGGGCGAAGATGGGTGTGGTGAGATTGATCACCAGGCTCGCAAATCCCGCGCAGCGAAGGTGAGCTATGGATCTTTCGCCCTCTTTTCTGATCGATGCGCGCTCTCACAGGCATTGGGTTCCAAAGAAGAAGATCTTGGGCACCCCCGAGCTCAATCGGATCTACAATGGCCCTGGCGTGGATCAGGACTACGGTAACGACCGATTGATTGTCTTGGAGCTCGCTCTATCGATTGAAAGCTCTCTCTTTCTCGCAGTGAATAGCGAGAAGTACAAGACCGAGATCCTCCAAGCCAAAGCTCGGATTTTCAACTACGTGATTGGGAATGGATTGCGATCAGGCCACAAGATTCTCAGGAGGAAGCTCATCGGCCCGGAGCTCGTCAAGTGGTACCCATTCCCCTTGCAGCATTTGGATCGGCGATTCAAGGATCCAACTGAGGAGAGGTATGAGAATTCTTCCTTCACGCAAATTTCTAGTTTGTTCTTGCGGATTGATCGCGCTCTCCTCTTTCCAGGCGATACCAGAGATTGCAAAGATTGAAACGAGCGGGCAAAGGAAGACCCAAGAAAGGCCAAGGCAAGCGAGCGACCGCCAAAGCCAGCAAGAAGAAATAGAGTTTCTAGGGTTCTTGAGAGGGATAGGAGTTTTAGGGTTCTTGGGGAGATCGATGGCGATGGCGATGGCTCTAGGCAGGAAATGCGGCTTGATCCCGCGGCAATTGGTACAGTTCTTTCGTTTCTCTCGCATCGCAGCGCTCTGATTTGGATGGATCGAGCGCAGCAACAGGTGCGCGGCGTGTATATCGATTGCAAGGGGCTGAATTTCGAGCAAGCCATGGCGCGCTATGGCCGGAAAATGCGACAGGACAAGACGCTCAACGATCTGCTCAAGAAGGAGTACTACGTGAAGCCGTCGGAGCAGCGGCGCCAGGCGGAGAAGGAGCGCGTCAAGCGAACAAAGAAGAGGCTCTTCCGGGAGAAGCTCAAGTTCGTCTTGATGTTGCGAGCAAGGTTTGCATTTCTCTTTCCCTCCCTTTGTTCTTCATCCACCATAGCTGGTGTTCTTTCTCATCGGAAAAATCCAGCTTTGCTTCTCTCATCTCCCTCTTTGCGAGATCTTGAATCGGTTACTGATGATCTTCTCCTCGTTTCCAGAGGGCTGTGATCGAATTTTGGTGATCTTTGATTTGTTATCCTCGCTACTAGAGTAGAGGTACTGTTCTTATGAACCAACAAGAGCCCTAAGTTTCTTTTCTATCATGGCCTCGGGAGGGCCTCTTCTCGGTCTCGACGACCTCATCCATGATCTCAACAAAGACCCAGCTTCTCCGAATTTCCCCTGGTTGGATCGCCCATCAGCAGCGCAAGAAGATCATCATCTCCCTCTGGATCTCGATCTCGTAGAGGTGCTTCCTCTTTCTTTCAATCCCTCAACCTGTGTGCCAAGCAATACCATTGCAGGAAATCCAGGAGACCTGCCGCGATCTCAATGCCGCATTGGAGCGTCCAGGCTATGCTTGGACCTCACTCAACCAGAAGGTGGGTCGCCTCGATCGTCGATTCCTCCGCAATTTCTCATGTGGGTCGTGTGGAAAATCTCAGCTATGTACGAGCCTGGCGGCCGCAGCCGAGATCCTTCGAATCAGCCACGCGAATTTCGCGCAATTGCTCCAGAAACTCCAAACCCTGCGCACGATTGTTGGCAGGGGAGAAGGAACCCTAAAGATGCTATAAATGCCGATTTTCTAGGTCGAGTATATTCTCTTAGGGCAGGGCGTGCCATAAGGGTTTCCAACGACAGCGCGCCCCTCATCGATAGAGCTGGCTCTGCTCCATCTTCCCTGCGACGCGCGGTAAGTCTCCCTCTCCCTCAAGATCTATGCGCTAGAATTCTCGATTTCGCGCTAGAAATCTTGATTTCTACAGTAGGAATTGCTCTGGTCGGTGTGCGCTCGCATTTCAAGGGAGAATTCGCTGTGTGCTTTCTACCCGATTTTTTCGAGTACCAAAACTAATGGTTTTTTGTTCTCTTTTGTATCCAGATTATCGAATCGAGAGTGTGAGGCTTCTTCCAAGAGGGCAATTGTTCTAGAATGTTTGGAGGTGGATACAGGAAAGACGATGGATTGCCCGCTGTAAGCACTGCGAACATTTTCTCTGCGCTTGAGCGAAAATCCAACAAGAAGAAGTTGGACAAGCATGCATTGCAAAGCAGCCAGAGTAAGCAGCAGGAGGACGCTGGCCAGTTTTGGGTGCCAAGTCCGGTTACCGTCAAGTCTTGGGCCGATGTCGAGGACGACGACGATTACTTTGCGACCACCGCACCGCTGCCAGCGATCTGGGGCCAGACAACAACAAAGGCCTCGCAGGAATCCTCCGTGAACCATGACTTGAATCACTTGGAGGTAACCATCTTTTCTCGTGGTTCTCTCCTCTCTTTCTTTTTCTTCTTCTTGCTGATGGTACGCTTGTTCCTTGGACAGGATTCCGAGGTTGACGAGGATTTTGACGATGATGCCGACGAAGAGGTCGAAGAAGAGAAAAGCGAGGAAGCCGGTGTCGTGAGTTCAGGACAAGCTGAGCAACGTCCTCAAACTCCCACGGTACTTCGCGAGCTGGACAAGCAGCTCTCCAAGAAGGAGATCAAGAAGAAGGAATTGGCGGAGCTTGCGGCCGTCCTGGCCGAGTTTGGCGTTTCCACGGAGGAGACGAAGAAAGAAGCGAAGAACGGTACGTAACGAAATAACTCGCTTCCTTCTTTCTCTTCTCGGGCTTATCGGCTTCTAACTTCCAGAAGACGACGAGGATGCCGTTCCGAGCAACGACGGCGACGCTGCAAACAACGAGGCGGAGAGGAAGATCGCGAAGAAGAAGAAGCCCAAGAAGGAGAAGACCGCTCCTGCCGTGCCCGTGATCATGGAGGAGATCGAATCGAACGTGACGGCGGTCGCGGAGCCGATGGACGTTCTCATCAAGAAGAAGCTGGTGGCGGGCAAAAAGAAGAAATCCGTCAAGGAGAACAGCTCCGCCGCCACGAGCAAAGTCGCCGCCGAGGCCGCCGCTCGAGCTGCAAAGCTGGCCGCCGCCAAGAAGAAGGAGAAGAGCCACTACAACCAGCAGCCAGCTCGTTGATTGCCGCCATGGATCTCAATCGATTTCCAGCAAGCTCCGGGACGCGAGAAGGAAAGAAAGATCACAAAGACAATGTGCTACCATCATCAGCATCACTTATATTATAAAGTCGTGTTCTTTGCCTATTGGCTGAATCTCTGTCGTGTCTACAACGATCAAAAACTTGGAACTAACTTGCGTGAGCTCTTCGTCTACACGATCAAAGTAGCAACTATCCTAAACTCAAAGCTAACTTGCGTGTCCTCGTCGTGTACACGATCAAAATCAAAGTAGCAACGATCAAAATCTTGGCAGACACGAAACAAAGGATAATACTTGAAGAAACAAACGATCTTACAAGGAAAAATTGCGTGATAAGATTGGATTACATTGAACTATCGCGTTTAAATCTTCTTCTTCTTGGAAAGATGAATGGAGGGATGTTCCAATATCTCAGAACAGAAACGCTGCAACGTTTTTGGACAAATAGCAGTGGTATGAGTAGCCATTTTTTGGTGTGTTTTTTTCTCTTTTTGTTTGAGAAATCAGCAAAGAATCGTACCTTTGTTTGCAGTTCGTTGTCATCTTGCCAAAAGCGAATCTTATGATGGCAGCAACCATACAGACTTTTGAATGAATCGCCAGGAACGGAAGCCATGGATGGATTCATCACGAAGCCTGGAACCTGGAACCCAACTGCAGCAAGCAAGCAAAAAAGAATAGAAACGAAGAGAAAGAATCGAGAAGATAAGAAAGAGGAGAAAATCAACAACGAGAGACTTACCCGCAGCGCAGCGAGTAAAATGTGTTCTTGAGAAGCTTCTTCTTTCCGACTGAAAACAACAGTTACTAGAAACGAAGAAAAGGAGAAGAAAGAATCTGCAGAAACGGGACGCACACGTAAGTGAGCAACAGAGAAAAGAGAAAAATCGAAGCTTTCCATCGATCGAGGACTGAGCGAGCAGAGAAACGAGGGACGCAAATTTGTAGCTGAGGGGAATGAAGCCTGGTCCGACACAACACGATCTCCAGATCAAACTGTGATGCTTGTTTCTCAACTTTGCGATTTGATCAGATCTCGGCGATGCTGTCTCGAGCCAGGCAGCACTCCCCGCAACATAAACCGCTTTGTCTTTCGCTCTAGAGTCTAATTTCTCGCTCGACCGATCAACTGAAAGATGTGGGGGAGCTTCTCTTTTTCCCTTCCTGGAAAGGATGATCCAGATCTACATGCTGCTGCCATTCACATCGCAGTGGATCGAATCGATCGATTAAATTACAGTGACCCAGCAAACAATTGCAGCGGGATGGAGAGGACTGAAGAGAGGAAGGAAAAAACGACTTCTTCTCAGGAAGAAAGTCAAGGAAAAGAGGAGCGAGCGAGCGAGCGAGGGAGAAATGGTCTGTCCGGCCACAAGCTTTTATAGAAGAAGATTCAAGAAGGAAGGCACGCCAGTAACAATCAATCCTGGATCATAGAATAGATGGGTCAGCTGCCCCTAAAAACCTATCGATTTTTCTCACACACTCCACTCTCTCTCCGTGCTGCGCGAGCATTCATCCCACTGCTCCAGCGAAAAAAAAATTTGACACTCCACACATCCACAACGAAGACGAAGAAGAGGAGAAAGAAAGAATTCTTCCACTCGTTTTGTCGCTACTTTTAGTTTTGCCCTAAAAACCACTCACAGACGGAATCAGCGTCACGTCACCGCCAAGTTGACGGCGCCGCTAACTTTGGCGCCCCTCGTACGGAATCCCTGTCATTGGCGCATTATTACTTCCGTTGCCCTGTCTCGCCTAAATTTTTTCTTTTCTACGTGCTCCTCAACATTGTTATTTGTTTCCTGCCGTACAATGATTTTCCAACCATATCTATTTGGGCCAGGGCCTGGCCAGCCATCTGAATTTGGGCCAGGCAGGGCCGACGTGGCAGCGGCAACCACGTGCGTGCATTTAATGGGCCTAGAGCGGTCATAAATAGGCCCATTGTCCCAAATGCATGGCATGGGCCACATTTCTTCCTCCTTGTACTGGGTGGAAAAAAACTTGGAACCTCTGTCCAACATGGACTAGTACTACCACTATTACTACTACTACCACAAATTCACTCATCCATCAAAACCATCCAGCCACGCAAAGAACTTAAAATTCTGGTTTGACCAACACTCAAGCTTATGAGTGTGTATGATTCAACATACTTGTATCAAACCCTGTATGTACAGTGGTAGACAAATCAAACAAACCCTCTAAGTACACAATTGCAACTGGGTGGTGTTTAGGGTTTGAAGATGGAATATTCTCTGCCTATACTACCACTCACCTGACCAGGTGGTTGCTCCATTGGGCATTGGAGATGGATTTATGGCCACCGTACAAGCTACACACACCCCTAGCAAAATTTTCTAGGTCCTCTTAAATATACTACTGGCTTGTCAAGTGTCTTATAGTTTAGTAGAGCTGTTGTTCTAATAGTATTTTTTTGGATTTGATTATGACTATGATCGATCTCAAGTTTGGGATCAGCAAGATCTAAGCATCAGCAAGCGATCGCCATAGTGTCGAGTCTTTATTTTGTAAGTATACAGTGTTGTATGGCCTACGTAACGCGTAGGTGGTACAGCCCTAATGTCACCGACATTGCCCCCCGAAAAACATCTCCAGCTCCCGATTTAAGGATCACACCTTACCAAGCACGAGCAGCAGTGAGCGCAGTAGTAGCAGCAGCAGAGAAGCATTGAGTTTGAGACGTCTCTCTCATGTCATTTAAGTAGAAAAAAGAGAGGGTTTTATTTTTTCTTTTAAGAAGACGAAGACCAAGAAACAAAACAAGTTAAATTCAAGGAGATTCAGTTGCTCTACGATCACGGATCTCAAAAGATTCCCCCGCTGTTTTAAAAATACGCTGCTCTTTCAAGTCTTTGTCCGTGCTTGTAAAAGTTGCAGGCAAGCTGTGTGTTTTACCTCGTAAGTAGCCACCAAAGTCAAACAAGCAAAGCCAGCCAATGTGATTCACATCGTATCAAGAAAATGCCCGCCACCTTTTCCTCTGTCTCTCTTTGCTTCGTTTTGTGTGTAGTTTTTGTATCGTTTTGCAAGGGAAAGAAGAGCGCCCATGAAGGAATTTCCTTCCTGGTGTAGCTGAAACACGAAATCCGGCTGTGTACAAGTCAAACGCCAATCACAGAGAGTAAACTATGTTGTCTCGAGACCCGATCCCCAAGATATGAAATGTTGGGACTACGCGTCATCACCAAGTTGGGAGAAAAAACTATAATGTATAGATGATCCTGATACTGCTCATGAAAAAGAGTTCCATTTCTCCACTAAGATTTCAATTGTCTCACATGTGATGTGCTGAGGATCTATGCAAGTGCACAATGTGGAGGAGATTCTTGCAAATCTATCGAGCACTTGCGATCTACTGGAGGGAAAGGTCCTCCACTTTCAGATCCAGAAAAGCCCGCATTGTCATGACAGATTGGTGGCCAACTTTCTGGTCCAAATGTACGGCAGGTGCGGCAGCCTCGAAGACGCACGGAAAGTTTTTGACACCCTTAGCAATCCCAACGTTTTCTCCTGGACAATGCTCGTCAAAGCATATGCCCATAACGGGCATCTTGAAGGTGCAAGAAGCATATTTGACGCGATGCCTATCCGAGATCTTGTCGCATGGAACACCATGATAAAACTTTATACAGACAATGGTCGTTTTGATTCGGCTAGAACAATGTTTAACCTTATGCCGCAAAGAGACGTTGTCTCATGGAACTCCATGATCAAAGCAAATGCCCAATCCGGACTTGTGGATAAGGCTAAAGATGTATTTGATTCCATGCCGGAACATAATTTGATCTCGTGGAACTCGGTTCTCGCCACACTTGCTCAAGCTGGAAGAGAAGAAGAAGCGCAGGATGTGTTTGATCAAATGCAACTTCACGACCTAGTCTCGTGGACTGCGCTGCTCGTCGCATATACTCAAGCCGGGAATCTCCTTGTCGCAAAGTCAACGTTTGATAAAACGCCAGAACAAAACACAGTCTCGTGGACTGCCATGATTCAAGCCTATGCCCAACATCAGAAGCTTGAGGAGGCAAGATCGATGTTTGACGGAATGTTGGAAGACAAGGTGGTGTCGGGGAATGCAATGATTGCCGCATATGCTTTGGAGGGTCAACTGGAACAAGCAAAGCTCGTCTTCTGCGATCTCATGCCGGATCACAGCCTGGTTTCCTGGAACGCAATGGTGACGGCCTACACTCACAATGGATTCTTCGCGACGGCCAAAGTGGTGTTTGAATCCATGCCTCACAAGAACACAGTGTCGTGGAACTGTCTGCTAGCGGGGATGAACCAGCACGGAGCATTTCGAAACCAAGCAAGCAAGTTCTTCCACCGGATGCCAAGCAGGGACTGCGTTTCGTGGACGAGCATGGTCGGAGAGTTCGCCCAATTCGGGGAGTGCGAGCGAGCAATGGAGGTGCTGCAAGCAATGGCTATGGAGGGTGTGCGATGGAGCTTCTGCGGCCAGCCCCTGACGAGCGCGCTCGTCGCCTGCAGCAACACTGGGATGATCGGCGAGGCGAGAGTGCTGCTGCTAGCGGGGAGCTCAGATCACGGGCTTGATCCGTGGAGAGAGCACTACTTCTATATCATCGACGTGCTGGGGCGAGCGGGGCTCATCACCTCCGCCCGAGATCTCGTCGCAAGCATGCAAGTCGCGGCGGATGATCCAGTCTGGGAGGCGCTGCTCAATGCGTGTAATTCTAGATGTAGGAGTATAAATTACAAGGATGGAATAACTTAATAATCATCCAAAAATTGTTCATCTCTACTTTTATCATATTTATAACTGTTTTTGGTTTGGTAGTGGATATATTTAGAATATGCTTGGATATTTTAGAATATTCTACTATCGAACGGTTGTTATTCATTTAGATTAATCTTGTATTTATAATTTATAAACATATTTATAATTAATAAACTTTCTTAAACCCTTTTTAGTATATTCTTTTTTATTCTATCATTTAATGGTTGATATAATCTTGTGTTTATAAATTATAAACATGCTTATAATTATATACTTTATTTGATCAATTGGATTAATAAGTAACAATTACACTACTATTAAGTAAACCAAGCATTACTACATGCAACAGGTAATAATTTATTTTTAAGATTGTGAGATGAAATAATTTTAAATTATTATGTATAGAGTTTAGAAAATTAAGTATGATAAACATAAAAATAATTGATTAAAAATGGGAAAATTAAATAAAATTTCTTCATTCGAACCTTAGGGTTCTTGGGAGCAATGCGATGGTTGGGGCGGCATTGCTGCTGCTACTGGCTGGGCGGGAGGCATTCAGGTACTGCAATCTCCGACTACATTCCTCCGGATTCAAGGGTGCTCGCAACGCCGTCGAGTCGGCGCAGTTCTCGCGGGTACTTAGGAGCAGCAGGATCAGCCACGCCGTCCTGGGGAGCGGCGAGGGATTCCAAGAGCTGGACGAGATGCTAGAGAAGATCGCCACGATGCCCGATCCATCGCAGGGATATGGCTTCGTTCTCAGGCAGATTGGCGAGCGCAAGGCGCTGGCACAGGGCAAGCGCGTCCATGCTCACATCTTGAGGACCAGGAAGTGGAAGTCGAGCGCCGTCGTCTCCAATCTCCTCGTCCAGATGTATTGCCAGTGCGGCAGTGTGGATCTGGCGCGCGAGGTCTTCGCCGGCACGATCCATCGCAACGAGCAGTCGTGGAGCTCGATGATCGCGGGCTACGTCCACCATGGCCGCCACAGGGAAGCGCTCGATCTCTTCCTCAACCTGGAATGCGAGCAGCGCGTCCAGCCTAATCGATCCATCTTCGCCAGCGCTCTCGCGGCTTGCACCCACTTGGGCGATCTGGAACATGGCCGAAGGATCCACGAGCGCATTCATCACTCAAAGATCGCTGGAGTTCACGACGTGGTGATTGGGAACGCACTGGTGACGATGTATGCCCGGTGTGGGGATTTGGTGTCGGCCCGTGAGTTTTTCGAGGGGATGCGAGAGAAGAATGCCATGTCGTGGAACGCTATCATCTCGGCTTACGTCCAAGGCGGCCATCCCCGGAAAGCTCTCGAGCTCTTTGCGAGGATGACAGGGAAGTTAAACAGCTTCGTTTTCGCCAGCGCTTTCACTGCTTGCTCCATGGTGGGAGAGATTGATCTCGGTAAGAAACTCTATGCAAGGTTTGTCGAGAGTGGACTAAAGCCGGATTTGATCGTGCAGAACGCTCTGATGAGCATGTATGCCAAGTGTGGAGACTTGGACGAGGCGAGGAGGACTTTTCTCGAGCTTCCAACGCGTGATGTCGGTGCATGGGCGTGTCTCATGGCCGGATATGCTCAGCACGGAGATTTCGCTCGGGCTCTCGAGCTCTACAACAGGATGAGAGACGAGAAGGTGGAGGCTAACGCGGCCATTTTCTCCACGCTCATCGCGGCTTGTTCCACTCTGAAAGAAGGTGAGCTTGTGAGAGACCTTGCCTTTTCTTGTGGATTTGAGGCTGATCCAATCGTGCAGGCTTCTCTGGTCGGAATGTATGGGAAGCACGGCAAGATCGAGGAAGCGAGACGTTTTTTATAACATTCATGGCGAAAACAAAGACGTGGCTGCCTGGTCGAGCATCATTTCGGCTTACGCTCGGCACGGGTTGACGGACGAGGCTTTGAGGCTGTTTTGGAGGATGGTTTCTCGAGGGGTGGAGCCAAGTGCCATGATTTTCAAGAGCGTTATATGCTGCTGCGCGAGCGGTGAGGCTCTGGAGCAAGGCAAGGCCGTCCATGCACGGCTGAAGGAGAGCCCGGGCAGGGAAGACTCGGCAGTCCAGAACGCGCTCGTTGGGATGTATTGCAAGTGTGGGAGTCTGGACGATGCAAGAGCCGCCTTCGACGTGATCAAACGCAGAGATCGGCACACCTGGACGACCTTGATCATGGCTTACGTCCAGAACAGGAAGCCGGAGAAAGCGCTGGAGCTTTATCACGGCATGGACGTGGAACCCAACGAGTTTATTCTTGCCAGTGTTGCAGCAGCTTGCTCCAGCTTAGGTTCTCTCGAGCAAGGCATGGCTGTCCACTGTCGAGCAAAGTCACTCGAGCTTCTCGGGTGTGAGGTCCTGGGAACTGCACTGCTTGACATGTATGTCAAGTGTAAGAGACTGGACGAGGCCAGGAAACTCTTCTGGGAGCTCCAGGCTACGAACGTCCCCTAATGGTGGGAGGATACGCCCAACCTGGGGACTCGTCTCAAGCTCGAGAGACGTGGGCGTTCCTGGGGAGGATCAAAACGTCTCCGGGCTTGCAGCAGCTCATCACCGCTGCTTGAATTCCACACGTAGAGCCGTTCACCAAGGACCACGAGTACCCTGCTCCGAAAAGCTCGGCGGCCATTTGCTGCCCTTCGGCTATGGCTTCTTGTGGCAGTGCAAGTTATCTAGGCCTGGCAGCTCCGGGAGATGAAACTGGAAGAGTTGAGCTCCGAGAAGCTTGGAAATCGAAGAGGGCGTTGAGGAGCCGCGGCCGTGGCCTGGGAAGTGAAACGCAGCGGCACGCTCCTCGCCAGTTCTCTTGAGAGCTTCAAGCAAAGGAGCTGAGGTAGAAGGGAGCAGTATGATTGTTGAGCATAGCTGACAGGGAAAGAAGCACGAATACTTGATACACTATACTGCTTCAGGAATAGAATGCACAATACAGCACCCCCCTTTATTTAGGGTGGGCCCCTTTTGCTTATTCATTACCATAAATTAAAGATTGTCCTAGTATATTATTTTCAATTATTTTTAAGTATTTATAAGTACAAAATCAAATATACTATTTATTCTATTATAACAGCATTCTCTTGATTGTATAGCTTAATATGACTGTATAGAATATTAAATGCAGCTTCCTTTCTTTCAATATATATTTTTCGCTAAATATATTCTTGAAAGTAAGAGCTGTATAATCCTTTTGTTGTACCATAGTGAGGAAAAGATCTTTTCACTGCATTCCATATTGATTCAATATGATTTGCATGAACTCTAGTTATGGGATCAACAAAATTTTAAAAGTGGTTGACTATATAATGAATGAAGTTCAATTAATTCAACCACTTTGAATTATAACTAGCCCAACAATCACTATATATATTTGTTCCTAAAAAATTAATTATAATTATTAGTTAAGAATAATAGTAGAAATAGAACTTACCTGGTCTAACATATGTATATAATATATCAGTTAAAGTTTGTGTAGTACAATAGGCCACTGAAACCATAAACATTCGATCCAAATCACGTTCAATTCCTCCAACAACTCACCGGCCTTCTACTCTTCTACCACGATTATATTTCCACTTGCCAAACTTACTTTCATTAATTTCCACAATTCTTCCTAGACCATCAATTTTTTTACTACCTCATTGTAATGTGATAACACAAATATCACGACAAAAGTTGTACCAATTTGTTGTTGTGTGCTCACTTTTAATACTACACTCAATATGAGTTTTATCTTGTGGCATTTTAATGCACCAACAATACATCACTTTAAGCATTTGAGCAAATGTGAGATTACTATTTGCAAACCATGTATTAATTCTAAGAGATTTTGTGGTATTGCAATTTTTACAATTCCACTTTAAACCATCTTTACAACCTCGATTATTAGATCAATATCTTATTGGTCGATGGCATCTTTCACATTCTCTCCCTTGTGGAAGAAGACTAACCGTAATACAAAAAGTAAAAGAATTTACTTTACTATTAGTTCTCTTAATAAGATCAGAAAAAGAAAGAATACTATCTTGAGTATGATCTACATATTCCAATCTAGCCATAATACTAAAGAGAATGAATAAAATTAAACCAATTGTAGATTATATATTTATAAGTTATAGCCATTCATTCACTAGCTAATTAAAAAATTATAGTTGTTAACATATCTGTTAACAACATCTACTAACTAAAGTTTAACGTTACTAATTTAGAGTTAGTCATTAAACATTTAGGGTGCAAAGCTGGGCGTGACTAAGCATACTATGAAGGAAGCAAGGGGTGAGCGTGGCAAAGAAGCAACCACATAAAAGAGGGGGGTGTTGTATTATGCATTTCCTAGAAGCTTTCATCTAGTGACACAAAAGTCTCCAACTAATTCTTCTCTTCCACAAAAGTGTGGAGCAAATTCCTCCAGCAAGGGAAAAAATGCCAGAATCAATTTAGAGTGAGTAGTGTTACAGCATAAACAATCAGAGTGTTTACATGAGTTTATTTAGCTTCTCCAATGCTTGTTTTACATCTTCAACACTTGCAATTTTCTTAAGTAAATTGTTTATCGTCTTCAATGCATAATATTTATGCCCTTTTCTATTTTTGAATGCTTGAATGACAATTCCATTATTGGGCTGCAAGCAAAAGGACTCTGGCTTGTCGTCCACAATCACTGTGTGTTTGAGGTCCCGCCTTAATCTCAAGAGATCCTTCACAACCTTTTTCCCTTTGACTTCCTTAGTCGAGCACGAATCTTTGTAGAGATGATGGGCAAAGAGATTCCCAGCTAGGTTGAGCTTGTCCAAAGTCTTGTCCACATATGGCTTGATTGCTCAAGTAAAAACCACAATCTCATATATCTTACTGTAACGTATATAAATATGGGATGAGATTTGGATATACTGTTACTGTGGATCCTTACAACTTTGGAGAATAAATAAGGATAAAATAGCTATTAAAGGCTTTTTCATCAAGTAATTACCTCATTGTAAACTCTTGAGTTTGGACTTCCCAAGAGATCACCCAACCCAGTACTATTCAAACCCAAAGATGCTTAACTCCAACTATTGCTTAAAGATGCTTAACTCTTAACCGATTGGAAAAGGGGGTGCGCTCTTGTTTATGGGCCCTTTCCTTCTATATTTGAACCTCAACGGATTGTCTCTCAAATTCACGCCTTCGTGAACGGAAATTGAGAGCCGCAGCTCTCCCGAGAGCCCCGCTCTCTTGACACCCTACCCCTCGGGTCGAGCACAGTAGAAGTAAACTAGACCAGCCAAATGTCAATCAACATGTGGTGTGATTCCCCTAGCCAACCAATAGAGTGTAAGCAACCAAAGGGAACAACTTGAGAGACGATCCGTTAGGGTTCAAATATAGAGGGAAAGGGCCCATGAGCTAACATACAGTCGGATCCGACACCCACTCTAATACCGAATGTAACCTCCTGAGTTTGGACTTCCTAGGTCACCCAACTCAGTAATATTCGAACCCAAGGACGTTTAACTCCAACTATCCCAAGACCCTTAACCGATTAGAAAAGAGAGACGATCCGTTAGGGTTCAAATAGTACTGGGTTTGGCTTAGGAGCTTACATAGAGTCGGACCCGACACCCACTCTAATACCAAATGTAAGCTCCTGAGTTTGGACTTCCTAGGTCACCCAACCCAGTAATATTCAAACCCAAGGACGTTTAACTCCAACTATCCCAAGACCCTTAACCGATTAGAAAAGAGGGTGCACTCTTGTTCATGGGCCCTTTCCCTCTATATTTGAACCCCAATGGATCGTCTCTCAAGTTGTTCCCTTTGGTTGCTTACACCCATTTCTAGTTGGTTTAAGAGGAGAAAGATAGGGTATGCTATATGTGGTATCAGAGCAAATGGCATAAGTGGCTACTTAAAAATATAATATACCCTTGAGTAAGGTATATTCTTACCTTTAAATTTGAAATTATACGTATTAGGCATCCATACGTACGTCCTTCCTTTTGGTGGAGCATCTATGGACGAAGGTATCCACCGTAAGACTGCAGTACAGGTGACTAGTTGCCTCACATGGAATAGTTAATCTACATAATGGAAGGATTTGTATATTCAATGTGAAGATAAAAATGTTTGTTCCTTTTGGCTCAGTAGGGGTTGTTAGTCAATAGTTAATGAGGACATTGACATCTCTGAAAGGGGGTGAGTGTAACACATATGATTATGAAATGAGATTTGGATATACTGTCATCATAGATCCTTGGAACCTTGGGAATAAATAGGGATAAAATAATCATTAAAGGTTCTCTCATTAAGTGATTACCCTTTTTCCAATTGGTTTAAGGGAAAAAAGATAAATCATGCTACATTTACTCATCTCTTTTAAAAAGTTATTCACACCTGGCCTCTTTGCCACAAGGTAGCATTGTAGTGAAATAGTTTCCCCACTAAAGAGCTTGAGGGACACTATGGCCTTGTGAGCATGGATTAATGTCTTATTTATGTCCAACACAAACATGGGTTTCTTCTCCAAAGCTGGCAGCAGTAGCAAAAAATGGTTTAACAACTTCACCTTTTTCTTTTTCTCTTTAGTGGTGATGTCAAGCATCACAAAACTCCACTCCTACTCCTGTGGCTTTTTCATAGATGATAGAAACAATGTAAGCCCTAGCTTAATCATAACAAACCTTTATATATCAAGTTTAATTTTGGCTAAGCAGCACATAGAAATTTGACTGTAACACCAACCCTAGCGCCGAGAGTCTCTGGGCAGCTCGAGCTCCACACTCAAAATCCTTGTGAATCTTCTGGCAAGCAGCCAACAGTGAGACCCAAGCAATGCTTTCGGGCTCGAAGGGCATGTTGTGGATGAGCTCCTCGGCCTTGTCCAGCTCTCCAGCCCTTGCAAATGCGTCAATAAGCCCACAATAGTGTTCTCCTGTGGGCTCGACTCCATAGTCCCAAATCATTGATTGGAAGTAGTCTCGAGAGATTTTCACCACGTCTGAGTGGCAGCATGCTGCAAGCATGCTTGTAAAGACTATGTGATCAGGCATCATGCTCTCCTGGATGATCCTATGGAAGGTTTCCAAGGCCTCAGTTACATGCCCAGTGGAAGCATACATGGCCACCATTGCAGTCCATGAGACCAAGTCTTGCTCTGGCATTCTCTCGAACCAAACTCGAGCTTCCAAGAGGAGTCCCTTGTGAGCAAAGCCAACCACTATTGCCATCCAGGCGATTGCATTGCGCTCCTCGATTGCCTGGAAGAGGCTTATCCCTTCTTGGAGGTGGCCATTCCAGAGATAGGCCGAGAGGAGTGCTGTGCTCGCCATCTTGCTATTGTAAGGCATTTGATCGAAAATAAACTTTGCATTTTCAAGATGGTTTCTAGAGGCGAGCATATGGATCATTGTTGTCCAAGAGATCTCATCGCGGTGAGCCATCTTTTGGAAACAATCTAGTGCCTCATTCAAATGCCCATTTGCGGCATATGCTCAAAGCATGGAGTTCCAAGCCACCACGTCTTTGTTTGGCAGCCTCTCAAACAAGGCTGTAGCCTCTTCCACGCAGCCATTAGATGTGTAGCCGTCCATCATAGCCGTAAATGCCACCTCATTAAGATCCGGAGCATCTTCAAAGAGAATCTTTGCTTGCTCCGTGTGCCCTGCCTGGGCATATGCTGTGATCATGGTCGTCCATGTTACTACATTCCTTGTGGGCATTCTATCAAAGAGATCCTTAGCTTCATCCAGCCGTTGGTTCTGGCAGTGGCCTTGGATCATGGCCGTCCACGCCACCACGTCCTTTTGGGGCAGGGAATCGAACACCTCACGCGCGCGTAAGAGATGCCCGTTATGGGCATATGCCACGATCATGGCGGTGCTAGAAACGAGGGTTTGCTCCGGCATGGAGTGGAATACCGCCTCCGCCTCGCCGAGATTGCCAGTCTGCGAGTACATCTCGATCATCACGTTCCAGGTGATGGAATTCTTGGCAGGGATGCGATCGAAGAGCTGCTTGGCGCGCTGCACGTCTCCGGCCGCGGCGTATGCCGAGATCATGGCGTTGCTGGACACAATCTCCTGCTGCGGCATGCTTTCCAGGACCGATCGCGCCTGCTCCAGGTCGTGGTTGCGAATGTAGGCCTGGAGGATGAGATTCCAAGAGAAGAGATTGCGATCCGGGGTGGAATCGAAGACCGATCGCGCTTCCTCCAGGCAGCCGCAGCGGCCATACATCTGGACGAGGAGATTTCGCAGGAAAACGCTGTTCTTGTGGTCGCTGTGAAGGATCTGGGCGTGGATCTGGCGGCCATCGCTGGGATTGTCGCAAGATCTGACGAGGGCGGCAAGCTCTTGGACGCCAAGAACGCGCATCACATCATGGCCGTTGGATGATGGGGACGTCCGAGGTTCAAATCCTGGCAGGTTCTAGCTTCTAGCCACGAAGTTTTTATGGTACGCGGCGAAAACTCTTCCCCCATCGCGCAGCCTCACTCCAAATGCCGGAGGCAGTCGCAATTCAATTAATTTCCATTTTTTCTTGTGGCTTTGGATGGATTTCTCTTGCTGCAAATGCCCAGACCAGGCTGCAAGCAGTGTAAAATCAAATGCTCTATTCATCCCCTTTTTGGATCAGATTGCAAGAAGGCACACTACTACTCTTTAGAAAAATCCAGATGTCAAAGTTACCAGCTTTGATGTTTTTGGGTTCTTGTCGTTGTGTTGATAATGGGGAGCTGTTCTGATGGTATATTGTTAATAGTTTTTGCAAGCTTGTGGAGAGAGCATTAGAAATATAACTTGTGGTTGGCACTTTGTCATTGTACGTAGTCCTGTGTGATTGATGAGGCAATCTCTATATTAAATTTCAAACCCAAATTTCTTAGGATTATATCAATACAAAATTCAAAATAGATCCATTATATTCAAAGCAAATTGAATTGGTGTTAAATGAACCCCTTGATAATATTCCCAAAAAAAAATAGAGGGTCATTGATTTATTCGTACAAAAATTTTCTACTACTCATGCAATTTTTTATTTCCAAAAAGCATCTTAGTGTTCAGACCTTCCACTATAACAGCACTAACAAACGTTGTTAACACCAAAGCCTCTACCCAAAAAATGAATGTCATCAATCTAAAAAATGCCAATAACACCAATAAATATAACCAACTTTATCACATATTCAATATGAGCCAAACCACATCTTTGCCTTTGTCTTTGAATTCAATTAACGATAACATTAACCTCCACTAGAATAGGATTATCTTTCATATGAAGTGGAGTTGAAAGATGTTTAACAAAAAGTGAAAGAGGTAATGTTTTATAACATTATGTCATGTGAAAAGTATTGTCAAGGGTGGCTAAAGTAAATGTATACACAAGTTTTATAAAATTTTGACAAAATGCTAGTAATAACATTCCTAACTTGATCTACTTTAATATATTTAACTCTACATGAAGCAAAAGGTTTTAAAAATGAATGCCAAATTGCATCACTCACTCAAATGCCTCTTGATGAAAATTGTCCAATTACTATAAAGCATCATCACAATTGTCAACATGCTTAAATGTGTAGTTTAAAACATTCAGAAAAATACTCTAATCTACATGAATGGCTACACTAAAAGTATTATACTACTATAATGTTATCCTTGGAAACTCATGCAAATATAGAGCATTATCCCAAAAATGATATGTGATAATCACCATAAAGCAATCAAACTAATGATATATATCAATCGCTAGGATTACCATGAAAGAACTCTAGCCAAACATAACGATTAGCAACAAGAGCAAGAAGAATTGTACCATGCACCATGAATGTTGCCATTAATTGAATTTGATTGTTCAATTGCAACAACAAAGCAAAAAGAAAATAAATTGAAAAAGCTACAAAGAAAAGGAAATTTAGACAATGTAAAATTTAGACTTAAACCAAAATCCCAATTCTAAGCACTTCTTAGAGACAATTACTATTCCTCACTTCCATCAATGTGAGTGTATGAAATATAGAAATGGAATATAGAAATATACATACCAATTAGCCAAAAAACCTTAGCTTATATATAAAAATGAGTGGTCCAAGTTACAATTAATCTAATGGTTATCAAAATTCAATTACACTAATATTAATATATAGCATCATACATGTAAACTTGGACCTCATAAACAGACCTTTTTAAAAATATATAGTGTTCTTAAAAGAATGAACTATATTTATTTATTATATGCAATTCAAAAGGAAGGAATTTACAATTTCATTTATAATGGTGGTAGGGTATTTGGCATAATTGTAAAATGGTATTTCTTTGTTATATAAAATATAAAAAATACATCTTAATACTTCTAAATTTAAAATTAAATGAATTATCAAACATTAAAGTATTACACAAAGTCAATTTCTTCAAATCAAAGTTAATGTTAATTAATGTTTAAAATACAATGCTAAGCAATTTTTACTAAAGAAACTAAAATTTTAAAAATTAATCTATGCTAAATACTATATGAATTAAATATGTGAAAAATGATAAAATCATATTATAATTCTAATAAATTGCTACATGTTATATGTAGCAACGCTTGGTTTGCTTAATAGTAGTGTTATTCTTACTTATTAATCCAATTGATCAAATAAAATTTATAATTATAAGTTGTGAGTGCCTGGAATATGAAAAGGGAATATAGAAATGTGCATATCAATTAGCCCAAAAACCCTAGTTTATATACAGGAGCGAGTGATCCGGATTGAAACCAATCCAACGGCTACCAAAATCCCACTACGCTAATATTAGTATACGGCATCATAGCCGTACATTGGCCCTCATAAAGCATATTTATAATGTATAATTACAAGATCATATCAACCATGATAGAATAAAAAGGAATATACTATAAAGGGTTTAAAAAATTTATAAATCATTAACATGTTTATAAATTATAAATATAAGATTAATCTAACAAGTTTGCTTAAGCAAACCAAAAACTCATAAATAAAAGAACTATATAAATATCATTACAAATAATGTCTAACTTAAATCTACTTCTAAAATGTGCAAATAAATTAAATTATTATTTTAAAAAATATCTTAAATCTACTTCTAAAATGTGCAAATAAATTAAATTATTATTTTAAAAAATATCTCAATGTGTGTTTTTGTGTTGCAATTAAGATATATAAGGTGGTTAAGCTCGTGAGGGGAACTTAGCCCTGACAAAACATATAAGATCAAACTTAATAATTAAATAACATAGTGTGCATTATCCTTATTTAGATATTTTTATTTAAATTTTAAGAATAAATACTCTTTCAAATTAAAATTATTACCTCCCATTTTTCTTAATAATCTTACCCTATTTAGTTTAACTATAAATTTTAATTGTAAAATAACATAAAAAATTAAATATAAAAAATTGGATTAACTTTAGTGTTAGTTTCTTTATGACTTAATTATGTTGATTTAAACTCAATTCCACCTAACTGAATCATCATGACACTTAGAAATGTTAATCTCTGTCTGCATTTGAAATATTATAAAATTGACTATATAAAGCTTTTTGTATTTTAAAATTATTATATTAATTATTATATCATGTACGTATAAAATAAGAAATTAATGATAATTTTGGTTCGATTTAAGTAAAAGATCTTGAAACTATATTACTATCATACTTTATTTATGAAATTTAAATGATCGTGGAGTAAGTCCAAAATGGCCACTCTTCCTCCACCTGGTGTGCCAGCCGTTTGCTCCCGCCTGGGGGATCTGGAGCCCCGGGAAGCTCTCCAGCGATGATGACAAGGAAGGTAAATCGCCAGTGCTTGCTCCCACTTGAAGCTGGATTTGATCGTGGATGGGCATGTATGAACTGGATGTCTGTGGATGGGATGGCCGGTGTCGCCCGGGCTCTTGAGCTCTACGACAAGATGAGAGGCGAGAATGCAGACATTTTCTCGACGCTCTGAAAGAAGGATCGAGGAAGCAAGACTTCGCGTCGATCAAGCTCTCACACTTGCTATACATGCTGATGAGCGCATTGCCCAGCACGGAGTTCTCCTCGATATTATCCTCGAGCGGCCTTTGACAAGCTTTGCCTCAGAGAAACCGTCGCGTGGAACGTGATCCTCACGGCTTACGCACAGCGGCCAAGTTTTGGAGCTCTACATCGACATGGTCCAGTTGGGAGCTAGCACTTTCATCGCCATCCTCTCCTACGGCCACGCCGGGAAAGAAAGCTCTACTTTGGACTCATGACTTTGGAGCACGGGATTCCTTTCGGCCCGGAGCATTTCCAGTGCGTAACCGATCTCCTCGCTCGAGTTGAACACTGCCGACACCGAGGACTTGCTCGTCAACGAAAGCGGTGGCCTGGTTGACGCTGCTCGCGGGCTCTAGAGATCATGGGAACGCCGATCGACGGCAACGTGTGCAGCACTACACGTTTTCGAGCTGGATCCACTTTGACGCTATGCAAGGAGGAGAAGAGGTCAGTTTGTGTTATTTTGTTATATGCTGTTTGTTAGCTTTCAGAAATATCAGCGTTCTTTACAGTTGATGGCTTGCCAACCGAGGAAGACGAAGAAGTTACTCCCTTTCGAGCTTTGTTGGCTTGCGCTGGTGGTAGCGGTGGCGGTGGCGGCGGCGGTGAATTGTTGGAGGTCTTGGACATGTTGCTGGCGAGATGGATTGGCATCAAGCAGAGGCCTTTGTTTTGGAGGTACTGCATCGCGGAGCCCATGTCTTCCTCCATGAGTTTCGCGACTTGTCTCTCGGTGAGAGCGATTCCGTCCTGCGCGCCGTTTTGTCCCAGAGCTGCGAGGAATTGGTTTGAGTCCTGCTCGAAAGATAAAACAACGGACAAGTGACTCCATTTCCTTATTGTATGATCGTTCTGATTATATTCTTCTCTTTGTTACCTCGGGTGGAAGATCGGTCATGACAGCTCCAGCGTTTCCCAGCCTGCTCATGCTAAGAACCTGACAAGAAGGAAGGAATTAAACAAGTCGAGTGGATCATGTGACGACGAAGAATTACTGTACCTTCACTTGGAGTTGCAAAAACTTGACGTAATCGATGATCTCATCCAGCATGGACGCCTTATCAGTCTGTAGAGAAGCCAAGAAAAAAAAGGAAGAAAAACAAGAACCAAGGTGGTGAGTTTTTTCACGCAAAGCAGCAAAAAGTCAACCTTGTTAGAATTGGGAACGAGCTCTTGCAGCGATTTCATCCGCTCGGCGATTCTCTCACGTCTCAGCTTCACGAAGGTGGAAGAAAGATTATAGCTAGAAAGAAAGAATGGGAGCTTGAGAGATTTCTACTCACTCTCTCGGCGATGCTGTGAGGATCGGTGGCTTGGCCACGACGAGCACGAACTCGAGGCCTTGCTGCTCCACCCGGAATCGCTGCTGCTGGTTGCTGCTGGGACACTGGCGGTGGCACCTCCTGGATCTCGGTTCTCAATCCTTGGCAAGCCTAGAAGGAAAGAAAAAGAGATCACACTCACTTAGAACACCAAGCATGCAACAATGCTCTAAGATCTTCCTTGGACTCTCGAGAACAAACCAAGTTACGTCCAAAACACAAGAACTTATCTTCTAAGAGATCCAATATCACGAATTTCTAAGCGGCCACTGTCACTCACCTGACCGGATTTTGTTCTTGCGAGGTTAGTCTGTCCCGGATGTCCACCAAACGTGTTGAAAATCCCAGCGTCTTGTCCCTGGATGGAGTAGCAAAAGGAATTTTTATCGAGAAAGCTTCGATTTTTGTAAAGAACTCACCGAGATTGCCGAGAGATTCTCCATCAGCGACGCAGCTTGCTGCTGCTGCTGCTGCTGCTCGTCGCGGATTCTCTTGCCGAGCATCTGTGCTTCCGTGAGAACATCTCCTCCGGATCCTCCTCCAGGCTTTCCAAAACTTAGCGGGAGATTGGACGCGTACTGCTGGCACCATGTCGAGTCGGACCTCTCGAAGACCGGGGAGGAAGAGTCGCCGTTGTTCTTGTTGGAAGAGATGGAAGAAATCCTACACGAATCGTGCACGAGGTGGTGGTGGTGCTCGTGTTCTTGCTGCTGCTGCTGCTTGAGCTGCGAGAGGAGCGTAGATCCATGATCCTGGACTTGCAAGCTCCCAGGATCCAGCAGCGACGACGAGGAGATGATCCCATTGTTGATGCTAGAACTGGTAGTGGTGGTGTTGTTTGTGTTGAGAAGCGCCACCATGGTCTCCAATCCCGCCATGCCACCCGAGAAAGAATCCCATGGAGCAGCACCAGCCACCCTGCCGGAATCGCTCCACGATGGCATCGACAAGATTTGCTCCATCATCTCGTCCATGACCAGCTGCTGCTGCTGCTGTTCTTGGAGATTGTGAGCCATTTTCCTGAATCTTTCTTGTCTCTACCCATGCGCTCTCATCCTCCTGAGCAAAACCGAAAGAAATTCTCACTCACAACGTACATTCTCGAGATCCCGCCTCGCAATTCCTCCCAGATGGATCAAACAGGAAAAACCCACCAAAAACCCGCGACCCAATTCCTCCCGGACGATCCTGGGCAGAGTTTTAGGGTTTTCTCGTGTCATTGACAATGTCTAGCTTTTCTTCATCGTCCTCTTCCTCTCTTCTTCTTCTTCTGCTTCTTCTTCTTCTTCTTTTATTCCTCTTCATTAAATTCCTTGTAAAATTCCTTGATTTAGCCTAACAGTTTTCGCCCAGTAAAAACTCTTGCCTGTACTTATTACCGTCTGTTACCGTATTTACGCGGGCCTTTACTTTACCGATGGTAACTCCTGGCGATGGTAACTCGTTACTTTTGCGATCGTGGAGTTTTCAAAGGGGTGCATGATTCGAGTCCACGTCACTGCTGCCATGGCCGTCCGTGTACTGTAATTTACCAGCGGTCAAATCCCTTGGAAAGGCCCTTATGAGACATTGACGGCCGACGACGACTTTTTACCACCGGAGGTGAAAGAATACTTCGTACAATAGTAAAATATGTGCGATCGATTGTCAATACGATGTGATTATTTAGAACTAATCGAGATGATGGATAGAAACTTCTTCTGGGACCCCAGCGATTTGCTCCAGGATCTTAGGCGTATGGGGACGTGAGGTTTTAGAATAGTTTTCGAACCTTGGCTGCGAGGACCAGATCAAATTAACGAAAACAATGCCATGGTCCATGGGTCCAATCCAGCTGCACGAACTCCACCACGCGGGGACTAAACAAGATTATAAACTAGATAAAACAATGCTAAACACGTGTTTTTCGTTCACGCATGTCATTGAGCGAGGGTGTGCTGGCTTTGAGACAAAAGACGAGCTTGATCTGAATGGACTTTCCGTGTTTTTTTCCCAAAGCTTGTGACTGATAATTTGTCCTTAATTAAGTTCTATAAACTTGAAGGTAAGTAAGTATAAGCAATGTCTAAGTTTTGGGCTTTCACGATGGCAGTCGCCACGGCGATTCTAGTGCAAAGAGCTGTAAGATTGGTTTTCCTATTGAAGAATGCTATGATCTTTCCGGATCTTGCAGGATGCTTGCGCTGGATTCATTAATTCTTGCGAGATTTTTGATTACGAGGATGGAGTTCTCTATGCGAAGTGCAAAGACGAGAGAGGGAACTTTGCATGGCCAAACATCGATCTAAAAAACTTTGTAGGGACCAGAAATGGGGAGATTGGAAGCGGCCCTGGATTTACAAACTTCTTGGATGGATGCTTCGGCTATGGCCTCAACTATAAGGGGGTCTTGAGGGGGACATGCAATGGAAGGGCAAATGCTTTCGACCTCAATAATTACGTCTCCAACGAGAATGGACGGCTTAATCTGTGCTAAACTTTGTAAGAAAATCTTTCTAAATAAAGGACCAACGGTCCAGATTGATTAGGGATGATGTTAAGTTTATGGAGAGAGAATCAATGGAAGTCGTGATTTTGCAACTTGAATTTCCAGGTGCTCCCTGCTGCATCCGCCTGAAGTTGAGCGCTGCAAACACAAGATCAAGCGTCTGGTGCAAACTCCAAACTCATTCTTCATGGTTTGCAGAACAGTGATTTCTTCCCGAGGTTTTAGGCAATAATCTTGGTCTTGCAGGATGTCAAGTGCCGAGGCTGCTTCAGCATGTATTCAACTCCTCGTATTCATTTCTTTTGTGCATCATAACTTTTTTCTTTCCTTTTCTGTAGTACGACTTTCTTTAGTCACTCTCAGACGGTCATTTCTTGTTCGAATTGCTCGACGGTGTTGTGCCAGCCGACTGGTGGCAAAGCCTTCCTCACAGTGGGCTGCGAGTACAGGAAGAAGGGAAACTAAATGAATCGGCTAAAGTAAGTTTTGATCACAGTGGAATAAACTATAAGATCGTTCTTTGAAGCCACGAACTTAAACGAGAGAGAGAGAGAGAGTAAACGATGCCGGCGCGATCCACGCCGTGCCGCAACCAGGCGTCTTGAAAGCTCTCTCGATCCATCCACAGAAGTTTCATTCATTCGCGCGGGTCAAGGAAGAAGAGAATTGAAGAGGCCACACCACAAAACCAGCGTAAGTATGTTGTACACGAGTGTCGGGAAATCCTTTTCTTCCCTGAAAGAAGAGCACAAAAGCTGGCTGCCATGTGATGGGACTTGATGAAGCTCTTGAATTCAACAAAGGTGGTGGCTTTTATCTTGATATCAATCCATTTTTTTATGAATTGTTTTGGAAAGGAATTCTATGATACTCTGTCGGTTCGGCAATGAATGAATGGATCGGTCGTTTTCTTGAGGCTGATGAATGTCTATTATAATCAATACAACATTGTCAATACATGGATGCTCCTATCTTTCACGACTCCATCTCTTTTTCCTTTCTCTCTTACATATAATCCTTGCTGCAGCTGGAATTTGCGAGACTGCGATGGGCATGTCATTGAATTCGATCGGAACCTCCTTTTGTGGCGAGCGATAAAAGAATCAATCGTTTGCAACTTCTGGGTTTAGTCGTTTTGGGTTTGATCTTCCCTGCAGGCGAGCGAGAGCGATATTGGCTCTGCTCAATCGCATGACGCTGCTGCATCGCACGAAAAATTTGCGATGGGAATGGATCGATGGAGTCGCAGCAGAGGCATGAGATTGAGCCGTGCCAATATCACTGGTGTTTTTCGCTTTGTGAGTGACGGATCTTCAAGCATATTCTAAAGGGACGGCCCAGATTGACGGACAACGGTCATCGTGTTAGGGTTCTTCATCTTTCACCGCGCGAGGCGATTCCTCCATCGGCACGCGAAGTGACCAAGAAATCTGTGATAGAACGAGGCGCTACACTGTCTGGTAGGAATCATATTGCAAAAAGACTTATTACTATACCACCAGGGCGATTTCTATCGAGCGGAGTGGACGCATAGCTCGCCGCTACAGTTGTAGAGCACTCTATCGGCCATGAGCACGCCGCCGTCTAGGCGCTCCAGTGGCTTCTCTCCGCAGAGCATTGTCACAACGCTAGACAGAAGTTTGAGCACATAAGCGGCCCACGCTTATCACTCTCTCCACTTGTTCTTCGTCAAAACTTGGCCCAGGTGAGCTGACGATTCTCTCGTCTAGCAGCTCCGGTATCTTGTTCTCTTCGTGTAACTTACAGGCCTGCGATGGGATCGCTCCAGCTTTTTCAAGGAGGAAAAAAGTTTTTTTCGATCACTCACCCATTCCAGAAGGTACTGGGTTGATCCCAATCCGTGCTCTTTCGACCACTCACGATTCCCAGGCTCAGGATTCCAAAGCTGAAAACATCTGCTTTGTCCGTCAAGAGGCCATGGAGTGCCTACTCCGGTGCCATATATCCCCCGCAAAAACAAAGGTTTGCTCTCGTATCTGAAGAATGTGGTGTGACTTTGCCTACACAGTTCCTGCGATTTGTGTGTTGATGGATTTCTCATCCAAGTACAGTTTCGCCCGAAGTCCGCAATCTTTGCCTCGAACCGTTTGTCCGAAAGTACCTTCCCGGCTTTGATGTCTCTGTGGATGATTTTTATCTGGGAATCCTGGTGCAGGTAAAGGAGTCCTCGAGCTACATCTAAGATGATATTGTATCTTTGCTCCCAGGAAAGGCAAGGTTCTCCTGGATCAGCCGGTACGTAAGTAGAGCATTGTCAAAAGCTTTCAAGAGATGGGCTTGGCTCTTACCAAACAGGACTTTGGCCAGGCTGTTCTTCTCCAGGAGCTCGAACACCAGCAGCCTTTAGATTCCTCGGTGCCGTATAGCTTGACCAGGTTCCGGTGCTGGACACTGCTTACAAGCCGGACCTCGTTGAGGAACTCGTGTTTTCCTTTTTGCGACTCCGTGGTAAGTCTTTTGATGGCTATCTTTCTACCGTCTTGCAGAATTCCCTGATTAAAGATCTTCTCAATCATACAAAACTTTTCCCAAGGCAAGTCACTGCTCACCCTGTAGACCTCCACATCCTCCCTCGCCTAATTTGATATCATCGCTGAAATTGTTTGTGGCTGCTTTCATGGGTAGATGGTTGCTCCCTGATGAATGCTCGTCCTTGTCCAGCAAATTATAGAAAACGAGCTTCGAGGTAATAGTTCTCTTTCGTAGCAACGTACCTTCGTTGACGCAAGTCCTTCCAGGATTTAAATATCGGTGCTTGATCCTCAGGCAGCAGAATACAATCCAGGACACCTCTCAGTCAAGTTCTTTGTCGCGACGGCCATGCAAGTGTTACACTGCTCGGCGCTCATGTCCCATCGACACTCGCCCAGCCCGAAGACTCGCAACTTGCCGTCTCCAGAAGTGACAGTGGTGGAAGATCCATGACTAGACAACACCACCATCGCGGAGTTTATATTCTGGCCATACTGGGAGGAAGGAGCTACGCCGCTACAGTTTGCAATAGGACGGAGAAGAAAGGATGGTTATCATAGATGAGGTAGCAACCGTAGAGGAGGATCCGAGCTTCAAAGCTTCCGGGGCAGACCGACTTGGCGGCCTGGGCTGCGTCTTGGGCGCAGGTCCTGGCGGCACTGGAGGACTCCGTAACCTGTGAGTTTGCCATCGCGGCTGGGAGCGGAGCTCCGGAAGTGACCGGTGATGGGGGCATTGGCGACGAGAACTGCGAGAAGATCGTCGACAGCGGTGGAGTAAGAGGAAGAAGCGATGGTGATCTGGAGTGCTTCTCTCGGCACGAGGACTCGATCAGTGTGGCAAGCGTTTGATGGTGGTGGGAAGAAGATGAAGCTTGTGAGGAGGAGCATGGTGTGGAGGAGCGTCATCTCATTGCGTGACTAAATTGGAGGACCAAAGAATTTAACTTTGAAAGTTTTAAGATTTTAGGGTTCTTTGCTCATTCTCGTTAAAGGTTTTAACGAGTAGATTTTAAAGATTTTTAGGGTCTTCGATCATCGCGCCGAGGAGATGCATTGCGACGAGTGGAGTTCCTGGCTGCTGTAGCTGGAGTTTAGCGTGTCCGCCTTGAGCACTCCATCGACGAGCTCTACCATCGCCGGCCGCGACACTTTGCCCAGCTTGGCCTCTCCACAGATCATCGTCACGACTCGTGACATGCTTGGGCGCTGCGATGGCGTAGCTTGGGTGCACAGGAGTCCAACGCAAACCACTCTTACCGCTTGCTCCTTGTCAAAGCTTGGAGGTACAGTGTTGAGTCGCGCGTCTACAAGGTCCAGTTGTTCGTTCCTTTCGTGTGACTTCCAGGCCTACGATGCGAGAAAAACTCTTTCGATCCAAAAAACGAATGAAGAATGCGATCGCTACTCACCCATTCCAGAAGGTATTGTCGCTCGATCGGTTGATTCAAGTCCGTGCTCCTTCGTCCACTTACAATCTCCAGGCTGAGGATCCCAAAGCTGAAAACGTCTGCTTTGTCTGTGAGGTGACCGTGGAGTGCGTACTCCGGTGCCATGTATCCCCTGCAATGCGGTAAGAGATTGTGAAACTTTCTCAAGAGATTTGTTCTTACAGAGTTCCTGCGATCTGAGTGTTGATAGATCTCTCGTCTGAGTACAACCTTGCCAGGCCAAAGTCTGCGATCTTGGCCTCGAACTTTTCGTCGAGAAGTACGTTCCCTGCCTTGATGTCTCTGTGTATGATCTTTACCTGCGAATCCTCGTGCAGATAGGCAAGGCCTCGAGCTACACCAAGGATGACATTGTACCTTTGCTCCCACGAGAGACAAAGATTTCCTGGATCACAGGTAACTACTTAGTTCCTGATCTTTTCAAACTTTCACGAAGCACGTACCTTGAAACAGGACTCTGGACAAGCTGTTGTTCTCGAGAAGCTCGTAAACGAGAAGCCTTTCGGATTCCTCGGTACAGCAGCCGTATAATTTGACCAAGTTTCGATGCTGGACGCTGCTAACAAGCTTAACTTCGTTGAGGAACTCCTGTTTTCCTTTTTGGGACTGCGTCGTGAGCCGCTTGATGGCTATTCTTCTTCCGTCTGGCAAAGTGCCCTGCATTTCTTCGAGGTAAACGGATTTGGAACTCTACATAGTTTTTGCTTACCTTGTAGACGACTCCGAATCCTCCCTGGCCTAGTTTGTTGTCATCGCTAAAGCTGTTTGTGGCTGTTTTCAGTGCATGATACGAGAAGATGGTTGCTCCGTGGTGAATGTTGGCTTGCAAGTCGAGATCTGCCATGTAGAGGTAAAAAAGAAGGATCTGTTTCAGAAAACACACTATACCTTCTTTAAGCTTCTTTCTTGCAGCAGGAGTCAACCGATGCCTGTTCTTGACACAGCAAAATGCAAAGATCCCCAGCAGCAACACACCTCCAATAATCCCAAACACCAACTTGAGAATTCTATCCCTGCCCGACCCGGATCTGGATTCACGGTCGAGGCTGCTGTAGAACTTGAAGGCGTCAAAGCGCGTGTAGCAGCTGTTGAGAAGAATGGATCCACTGGTGTTCCCGATGCATCGATCGGTCATGTTTCTCATCGCCACTCTCACGCACGAGTCGCACTGCTGGGAACTCAAGTCTCCTCGACACTCACCGAGCACGAAAACTTGAGACTTTCCACTTCCAACCGTGGCTGTGAACGAAGATCCACGCCGAGACAGCGTCGCCAGTGCGGACTTGAGGTTGTCGTCATATCCGGGAGACGAAGCTATGCTGCTACAGTTCAGACAGAGCAGGGACTCGTCCAGGACGGAGAAGAAGGGATGGTTTTCATACCGCAGGAAGCAGCCGTAGAGCTGGATTTTGGCTCCAAGGCTTGAGGAGCACCTAGATTTGACGGCCTGGCCGATGTCTCGAGCGCACTGGTCGCAGGAGTCTCTCGACATGTCTTGGCGGCACTGGAGCAGTCCATAGAGAGTGAGCTCTGCGCTTTGGACGGAGCTCTGGAAGAAGCCAGTGACCGGAGCATTTGTGATGAGAGTTGCGAGGAGGTTGTCGAGGGCGGTGGAGTAAGAGCTGCCGTTGGTGAATTTCTCTTCTCCGCAGCTCCAGCAGGAGTACTCGATTGGTGCCGGGACTGGAGCAGCATTTGATGCGATCGAGAGAGTGAGGAAAAGCGAGATGTGGAAGAACACCATGACAAAGTGTGAGTGATCGATGGACGTTGTCAACCATCTTAAAGTCAAACATATTTGAACAGAAGTATCGGACAAAGGTGTGCTTGTTTATTCTTTCAAGCTTACACCATGGACAAATCAAAAGAATCGTTATGTCTCAACACAAATGAAAGAGTTGCCTTTGTCAAGAAAAGACCATGTTGGCATTGGAAAACGCTAAGGGGATTGGCAAAAGTGGTTTATGAGTTTGGCTTTTTACGTCCATGCTTCGATGGCAGTATAAAGCTAGCTCGCCTAGCAAGCGGAAAGATCAATCCACTCTCCTTGCTCTCTTATATGAGTTTTTAAGGAACGATGATGTCACAAGTGCTCCTCCTCCTCCTGCTGCTGTGCGTCTCGACTTTCAGTGCCTCGGGGAGTGCAAGCCAAGGTTACTCTCAGCCTGAGAAGCCGGGCATGCATCCCAAGAGATCCAGCACCGTAAACATTAGTAATGGCAAAGCTTTTTCAAGAACTTCGGTTCTAATGTGAATGGCAATACCATCTTGGGATCTTCCTGACGAGCTGTCCTCAAGCAATTGAGTCGCCATCGGCGAGCTTGAGCGAGAGAGATGCCGCCCTCCTCAATAGCCTCCTCGTCATGGAGACCATTCATCGCCAACAGAAGTGGCAGCATAGCTCCAATGGCAAATTCCTCGCAGCCCCCCTCTCTGGTTCACGGGATGGTGGTGGAATTCAAGGGTCATCAGCTCGACCATACGAGGTAGCTATAGTTCTCGTTGAAGTTGTGATCAATAGTGGATGGTTTGCTGCAGTGCACTTGCGAACAACAGTGCTATCAGGGCGGCACGCATCAACGTCGGGCAGCAAACTTTCGCTGGGATCATCGACGCTGCACTTAGTCAGAAGTTATCGCCCAAGTTCGATGCTTTTGGAAACGCGGAGAGCGTGCTCCTGGCCTCTTCCGTCCTGTCTCCACTAGCATCTTCTCTCGCAGAAGCGATGCTTCCCTGGCTGGAAAGCGTGGCTGCAAGAACGGTAGTGTAAACTGCGAGATCTCTCGAGCACTTGTTTAAATTCTTTGTTTTCGCAGATGGCGGCAGGAACGTTGCGAGCGCTATCGAGTGAAAACGCGGCCATCAAAACAATGGTCCTGCAAATGAAAGACAAGAGAGTGGATCCACTCTCGCTCACGGTTGGGACACTCTCGGGCAGGATCGGCGACCTCCACACGCGTTTGGAGGAATTGAGCAACGCCCATTGCAGTACGGGACCCATGAAAGCATCCGCTTTACAGAGCAACACCATGAAACTGGTGGAACCGATGAAATTGGTGGCAAAGCGAAGTCCAGTGGCAGTCTTTAGAGTGCTTGGCAAACTTGGAATTATAGATCAAATGTTTTTGTTCCAGTTATAAAACGAGAAATGAATCTATGTCTATGCTGTTTATAGTTTCACTGTCCCAGCTTGAAGCATGTCACAAATGACTGCAATCTTAAAGTTAACCAGCTAGAATGCACGGAGAGAGATTTCGTCCAAGCCACAAAAGCTTCCAACAAAAAATTCTAACTAAGATGGATCTGTATTATTTCCTCATCTTGTATGATATGTATTTTTTTGTGATTCATTAAATATTAAGTTGAAACATTTTGATGGATTGCTAGTCTCAAAAAAAAAAAAAAAGAAAAAGTTATGACTGTTTGTCAAAATAAATGGATGTATTCAAAAGCTTCCAAAACAAATATGTATGGAAGGATCATGCAATGAATGAATTTCTGAAGCTTCTAGGCTAGGATTCCGAGGTCACTAAGCACATTAAACACGCCCATGGTACCCTGTCTTGCAACCATCTTCACTGGCTCCACCACCATCGAGTTGTCTTGGCTCAAAGACGGTGAAGCGAACGGCTTTCCGGCACACTCATCGCTGAGGAGAGCCAAAAGATGGCGCAGCTCCGTGATCTTGCTGGAGAATGCGCCCACTGTCATTGGAAATGGAACGACTTTGTTCTCGCTCATTGAAATTAGCATCGTTCTCACGGCCGCGTCCTCACTCGTCAGAGCTCTCAGCATTCCTGCCACGATCTATGTACATGCACAAAGAAAGACAAAGAGCAGGGTTTAGATCTTGATCGAGAGAGATGGCGTGTTTTACCGCCTTTGAAGCCTCGTTTTCCAGCTGGGGAAGAATCGCCTCAGCAAGCGAAGGTGCCATAGGGGACATGACAAAAGATGCCAAAAGAACTCTCTCGGGGCTTCCAAACGCATCGAATTCGGGTGGAAGTTTCTGGCCAATCGCCGCCTGGAGGATTCCAGAGAAAGCTTGCCTTCCAACGTTCATGCGTGGCCTTGCAACAGCTCGGTTTGTCAAGAACTGGGACAGCACACTGCACCCAAGGAAGAAGAGGGAAAAGTAAGAAACAAAAACACAAAATTTGACCAACCTGATGTGATCTAGCTGATGAACAGCAAATTCGTTCATTAGCTTGTGCACCAGCGAAGAGGTTTGGGAAGAATTGTGGTTACTCATGTGAAAGGTGCCACCATTGGCTACCGTCACGTAAAACTGGGAGAGTATGTATTCCATCTTGAGGAGGCTGTTGAGAAGTCGGGTATCAGTGTCACTCAATGATGTTGGTGTTTCCAAACGCCTACAGCTGGTCGTTCTTCCTCCAAGGGGGTTGTAACTTGGTGGCGGTAACTCATAACTGGGCGGAGGTGGTGGCGATGAAGGCTCATAGCTTGGTGATGGTGCCGGTGGTGGCGGTGACTCGTAGCTCGGTGACGGTGGTGGTGGATACTCAGGCGGTGGTGGACTGGAGTAACTTGGTGGTGGAGCATAACGTGTTGGTGGTGGTGAATACTCAGGTGGAGGTGGTGGACTGGAGTAATTTGATGGCGGAGTTGGTGGCTCATAGCTCGGTGACGGGGGTGGTGGATACTCAGGTGGCGGCGGTGGACTGGAGTAACCTGGTGGCGGGGTTGGTGGCCCATAGCTTGGTGACGCCGGTGGTGGATACTCAGGTGGTGGCGGTGGACTGGAGTAACCTGGTGACGGTGGTGGCGGTGGACTAGAGTAACTTGGTGGCGGAGTTGGTGGCTCATAGCTTGGTGACGCCGGTGGTGGATACTCAGGTGGTGGCGGTGGACTGGAGTAACCTGGTGACGGTGGAGGCGGTGGACTAGAGTAACTTGGTGGCGGAGTTGGTGGCTCATAGCTTGGTGATGGCGGTGGTGGATACTCAGCTGGTGGCTGTGGACTGGAGTAACCTGGTGACGGTGGTGGCGGTGGACTAGAGTAACTTGGTGGCGGAGTTGGTGGCTCATAGCTTGGTGACGCCGGTGGTGGATACTCAGGTGGTGGCGGTGGACTGGAGTAACCTGGTGACGGTGGTGGCGGTGGACTAGAGTAACTTGGTGGCAGAGTTGGTGGCTCATAGCTGAGTGATGGTGGTGGTGGATACTCAAGTGGCGGCGGTGGACTGGAGTAACCTGGTGACAGTGGTGGCGGTGGAGAGTAACTTGGTGGCGGAGTGGGTGGCTCATAGCTTGGTGACGGCGGTGGTGGTGGATACTCAAGTGGTGGCGGTGGACTAGAGTAACTTGGTGGCGAAGTTGGTGGTTCATAGCTTAGTGGCGGTGGTGGTGAATACCCAGGTGGTGGCGGTGGACTGGAGTAACTTGGTGGCGGAGTTAGTGATAACGTTGGTGGTGGCGGTGGACTGGAGAAACTTGGTGGTGGAGTTAGCGATAATGCTGGTGGTGGCGGTGGACTGGAGTAACCTGGTGGCGGAATTGGTGAGCTTGGTGACGGTGGTGGATACTCAGGTGGTGGCGGTGGACTGGAGTAACTTGGTGGAGGAGTTGGTGGCTCATAGCTTACTGACGGTGGTGGCGGTGGACTGGAGTAACTTGGTGGTGGAGATGGTGGCTCATAGCTTAGTGACGGTGGTGGTGGTGGATACTCAGGTGGCAGCGGCGGACTGGAGTAACTTGGTGGCGGTGTTGGTGGCTCTGATGGTGGTGGCTCATAGCTTGGTGACGGTGGTGGTGAATACCCAGGTGGTGGCGGTGGACTGGAGTTACTTGGTGGCGGAGGCGGTGGGTCGTCCTTCACTAAGTGTGTTAGTCGAGCTGCACTGCCTGCAACAGAAGATGTCACACACAGCACTAACAGCAGCAACCTGATCATAGAGAACGACTCCATGATTCGACACGGAATGGTGTGATGCCGCTGCTCTAATGAGCCACGGTTTTATACTGCGTAACACCATGCACACATTCCACAATTCAACATTACAAGCATGGAAAGTCATCCGCATTTAGCAAAAGTAGTGAACGGGCTTTACGTTTTTGGAACTTCCACTTTGCCAATCTAGGCATCCTTGCTTGAATATCAAGAAGTTCTATGGAGCTTCATGGCATGAAGGCTTTATCCACGAACTATGTGATGCTAGATCACGCCCCTCTTTACATTAAAAGTCACGTCTTTCAGTTTGAAACAAATCCCACTAAACGATCTTTTAATTTCATCCTTGCTAGCAAACTGGATAGTATAAGCTGGTCGTTTTTTCCTCGTCCCGACCCTGTGTGTATGTTAAAACTCGGAGAAACAAAACTCCATTGGCCGCTCTAAAAGAAAGATGACTATAAAAACTTCCCTGGCCTTCGATCTTTTGTTAGACTTTCATTGTATGGTGCAGCTACCTTGCTGGCTTCTGTACGAGAAAGAACAAAGCTCAGGTTGAAAGACAACTACTTGTGACACTTACTTTGGTCTGGGATGATACTCCGGGAGCGTGTCCAGGTATTTTAGCCAGAACGGCCCAGCTTCAGCACTATCTACACACAGAGGCCCACCTCTGTACGACTGGACGATGAACTGGTCACTTCTCGTCCTGCCTTGCTCAGAGTTAGACATAGAAGTGGATGATTCTTTCCACACGAACCTGTTCTTGTAACCTGCCAACCAGGAGACATACGCCGCTCCAAAATACATCGACACAAAGGGCTTAGTTAAGTCTTCGCATGATCTTAGCCTGTATGACTTGTACCCCAAATCTCTGACAGGGAGAACAAAGCAAATAAAAAACATGTAAGGAATGATGCACAATTTGCTTACGAATAGAGCCATAACGCGGTGGTATATGGCGTCTGCATTAGTCCTGTCGGAGATTCCAGCCCGAACAAAAGCCTTTTACTGCTGATATCTGCTAACGTGCAAAGCATAGCCTGACAAAGGAACAAACAAAATCAAGCATAGATTTATAAAGGCATGAAAGAAAATTCCGCTTACTGGGCTAATTCCTCTGTCAGTAAAGTATCTCGATACGATTATTCCTGCAATGGCCTAGAAGAACATAGAGATTTAGACACGCGAAGTAAAATACAGGTTTTACCTTCAACTCTGTCCTTGTAACAAAAGGTCGCATCTGAGTATCACGGGAAAAGCGCACTTTTCCTGGTTTTTCTCCTGCCTTGGTCCATTCCTTTTTCACATCTGGTTGTCTCCACATTTCTGCCATGTCCTGTGCCGAAGTTCTTTCCTCCCAATAAATCCACTGGCGTCCTAAAACAACGCAAAAACAAATAAAATACTCTGGGGACGTAACAACAAAAGTTTACCTGGTGAAGGACTCGGTTGCACTGCAGCGGAACCCAGATGAGCAGGAGCTGGCGTTGAAGCAGGCGAGTCAAGAACAGGCAACTCCCTGATGCAAAACGAAAGTAAACATCTGATCCATGTCGTTTGAGATAGTATTACCTTCCAATAGGTAGGTTCTGCTTGGCTTGTAAGTAACGGTTCCAATAACCGAGAGTGAACTTGCTTGTCGCATGCTTCGGTCCTGAGTTATATGCCCGAACCATGAACTCTTCACTCCGCCTCCTACAGTGGCATTGCATAAGTCAAAGAACCGCTAGCTAAAAACTATTAGCTTACTTATGCTCGTAAGTAGACAACCATTTCAAATATGCCGCTCCAAAGTAGACACAGACAAAAGGTCTGTAGAGCATGTCAGCAGAATAGGCATTGAAGCTCATGTCCCTATGGAAACAATTTTATTTGCGTTCGGTTACGAGGAAACCAAGGAGAGCTCAGAAAACAACACTTACTTGGCTAGCCATTCAGCCGTGGACGCTAACACTTGCATAAGACCCGTGCTTGCTTCCTTTAGCTTGGGCTCATAGCGATGTGCTAGAGGTTGACGATGGCTCTCGATCTCCGCAATAGCGCAAATCATCGACTGCATTGTCAAACAAAGAAGAAGACAAAAATCCATCAATCCAGCAACAGGCACAAAAAAGAACAAGAACTTACTGGACAAAAATCCATCAATCCAGCAACAGGCATAAAAAAGAACAAGAACTTACTGGATCGAGCCTTCGCTTGAAGTGCCTTCCAATGATAAGCTCCGCCACAGCCTATACCAGAAAGCACGGACAAGAAGAGCTTGCGTTAGCTATGGTAGCGTGCAAGAGAAAGTAAGAAAGGAGCTTTCTTACCCGCATTTCCGTTTGAGTGAGGTATGGATGGCCGTCCGGATTTCTCGACATATGAACCTTGCTTCCTGGAGCTTCCCCGGCGGCGATCCACTCCTTGCGGACATCGACATGCGACCACATCGCGAGCATGTCCTCGGGATCCACACAGTCATCCCAATATTTCATGCCCGGCGGCATTTTCGAGCTCGCGATCTCAAGACGGCATTCAGCGCCGCGCTGCGACTGGCAAGATCCTGGAGCTGGAGGAGCCGGAGAGGCGCTTCCGGGAGCGCGGAATTGGGGAGAGATCGGCCTCGCCTACCTGATGCTGGCGCTGGTGCTGCGCAGCTCCGCGGCGCGCTGGAGGATTCCTCGCGAACCCTCGCTCTCCCCCTTCCCCCAAACCCTAAATACTTCCACACGCGATTTCCTCTTCATCGTTTTTTTTTGCATGCGTCTTGTGCCCTTCTCGCTTCTTCCATGGCATTTTTTTATGCCAGAAATTTTTTCCACGGCACCGTTAGGGCAGGCCCGAGATCGTGCCACGTGCAGCCCGGAACTGCCGCCACGTGGCAAAGTCTTGGCTTAGAAAGAACCATGTCTTTGTGGTTTTTTTAATGGAGTCATGGATCAACTCTTTCTTCCAAAGTGGAGCATTTCCTTGTAACCACTAAGAGGGAATTTTGACTTTAACATGAGTGTTTCCCTGCTATATAAGATTAGCTTCCCTAGGCAAAGAGTGTGTAGAAAAGCACACAATTATAAGTTTTGAGAAGAATGAAGAGCAAGAGCATGGGCAAAAGTGCGTTTCTTTTGTTGTCACTGATGGCATTTTGGATTGTGTTGCTGCTTCTTGCACCAAATTTTGCTGCTGCTACTGCTAGAAATCCCACTAAGGATGCGGTTTCTGCCAGAGGAGCGCCTGGTGCATCTTACCACTTGGAGCACAACGACATAAACGAGCGCGGCAGACATCCCCCACGCCCTTGAATCCAGTATGTGTTACCAAAGTCTTATAAAGATATGGACAAGCTTGCGAAATAGACGATACATAATCTGGCCACAAGTCACCAAAAATAAAAATTGGTTTAAGGTGTGAATGTCTCAAGTCTGTCAGTCTCTCCTCAAAGATCAAGATCTAGTCAACTGCCAGTCCACAAAGGTCAAAATGTTTGACTAGCCATATAAAGCATCAATATAGTCTGGACTGGAGAAAAGAAGATCAACTGGAATGTCTCAGCCCTTACAATTTGGAAGGCTGTGAAGAACTTGCAAGAAAAGCAAGCTCCACTTTTTCCACTACAGGGTGAGATATTTAGCTAGAAATTGTATACTACCAATTTCAAACATTGTAGCTTTCCAAGACAGGATATATGAAAATTGATGCAAAATGGAAAGAACTACCTGAGGAATTTTCACGAAATTAATTAGAGATTCAATTTTTTTTTTTTTTTTTATGAAGCATCAATAGAGTCTGGACTGGAGAAACGAAGATCAGCCCTTACAATTTGGAAGGCTCCGAAGAACTTGCAAGAAAGCAAGCTCCCCTTTTCCTACTACTGGGTGAGATATTTGGTGAATTTTAGCTAGAAATTGTATACTACCAATTTCAAACATTGTAGCTTTCCGAGACAGGATATATGAAAATTGATGCAAATGGAAATATACTACAATTAGAGATTCAATTTTCTTTTTTCTTTTTCCAAGTTTTTCAACGAAATCTCTAAGAGAACTCAAAAAAGATGTGTACAGCAAACTCGTGAACTTTAGATTTGGCATATAAAATACTTTCTCCTATACACTTGCACTGTACAAATACAAAGGGCCTGGCCGTACGCTTCTTGCAAGCTGGCGGTCACAAGCATTGGTTGTGTCATATGGTGGTTGGCGCCTGGCGTCAGCGGCGGAGGGGACAACGTGGCATCCAGTACGGAGGAGACTCCCGTACGGGGGAATCTCCCCCGGATTCCCTGGGAATCTCCTGTCGCCCCTGCAACACCAGCCTTGTCGTTGCCCCGCTGAAGCGCAATAAAAACAAGGCGCAGGAAGAAACGAGGAACTTTGCGACACTGACAAACACAGGAAAAAGCAAAGCGACGGTTTGGTGGTGGCAATGGAAAACAATGCCCAAATTCAATTCAAGCTATAATCAATTGCTGCCAGGAGAAAAACATTATAAAAACAATGGTTTTGATGCAAGGATTACATACATACCTTTAGTTTTTTCATTCTTCTTCTCAGACTTCTTCTCCTTGGCTTGGCTTGAGAATCAAATCCCTGCCTGCAACAACATTACAATAAAACTAATGGCCCCTGCTGTGGATCTGATATTGTTGGTGAGAAAAGAAGGGGCGCTTTGAAGCTTTTAGAATGAAGTGAAAAGAGAGGTTCGTTCTTATCTAAAAGCCATACTCCGGCGGGGCAAAAGGATAGATTTAAGTAGTTCTTTGATGTCGCTAGTTAAGATCCAAGCGTTGTTCCTTGACAATGGATCTGGATTTCCGGATGCAACCTTCTCCTTTTTCTTTTTGGCCTTCGGCTGTTGATTGTCTCGCCAGAAGCCAGCAAGTAGCGCAGCCAGCGAGCATCAATCAATCAGCTCACTAGAAAGGAAGGAATAAAAAAAAAGCCAAGAGAGGAGCAAACCTTTGAGCTTGGCTGCTGCCTACAGCACGACACATTTATAAAGCGACCTTCGTACGCGTGTATTCCGCTTCTTGCTTTGTTGTTTGCCTTTACTTGCTTGCCTTGGTGCTCGCTCACTCGCTCCCTTCCACTAGAGGAGAGTCCCTGTGAGAGAAGGAGAGCGTAAGTTAGCAGTCGCAGTGAGTGAGAAACAACAAAAAGGAAAGAGAACTTCTTGCCTAGATTGCATTGTCGGTTTCATTCCTGTGAGAAGCGACCCGGTCTCTCGGCTCCACTTTTCTCTCATCATCATCACCGTAGCCTCGTCATGGACTTGCGCCTCAACCAACTTTACAACAATTCCAAACGATCTCCGCCACCGCCTTCGTCGTCTTCACCGCTGCCACTCGACAGTTACGAACACCACGCAGAAGCAGCGGCGGCGTCAGCGGCAGCGGCAGCAGCAGCCAGGTTCTACTCGTCGGACCGTCCCCCTCCCACATCTCACAGAATGCTGGATCAACACACGGGCAGCACCTTCATTCCAATGGCTGCTGACTACGGCCACTTCTGCGACACCGCTCTGAAACAGGCAGGAGCTGCAGGTCCGTCATCAGTGATCTCACAAAGCCAAAGGAATTCTCGCAAGAGTTTTACTCACCTGGCTGCCTTTTTCTCGCTTTTGCAGCAGGAGACTTCCACCACGGCCACTTCCCTTTCACGGCCTCGCAATGGCTGGAGCTGGAGCACCAGGCGCTCATCTTCAAGTACATGCTGGCAAGAGCACCTGTCCCGGCGGAGCTCATCATTCCCATCCGGAGGGCCTTCTCCCTCTCACCCAACAGTGAGTGTTTTTATAAATTTCCCTGATCTCCCGTCGCCTCTTTGTTCGCTTTCGTTTCTCCCTGGCCACCGACATTGGCCTATCTTCATCATCGTCTCATCCTGTGGGTCCTTGGAACAGTTCAGTCACATTTTAGAGAGCCGCACCGCACTGTGCCGCTACATGTTTTTCTGTTCCCAAGACTTGCGCCACCCACGGGAAAAACAATAATTGCTCATGTCCCTGCCCCTTCTTGTCATGCTTGCAGCCTTCCAGGTCGGACTTTGTCCGAGCAACCTCATGGACTCGGAGCCGGGCCGGTGTCGACGGACCGACGGCAAGAAATGGAGGTGCGCCAAGCCGGTGGTAGCAGTCGACCAAAAGTACTGCGAGAGGCACATCCACAGGGGCAGGAACAGGTCCAAGAAATCCAAAGCCACGCTGACGCCGACCGATGCTCAGCCGCCTCAAAACCCGTCACCACTTCCGGCCCCGGTCCACCAGCACTCGAAAGTTCCCGACTTTGTCGAGCGTCCGACTGATAAGCACAACGAGGACCAAAGGTACTGACTGTCACGAACGAGTTCCACTCGAGAGAGTATTCCCTGCCCCTTGACGAACTATTTTGCCAGAGGAAGCTGCGGACCACGGCCCGAGCAGGACACGGATCACGGCCACAGTCGTAAAACACCTGAAGCGCTGCTGCGGCATTTCTTCGATGACTGGCCCCGGGCCTCCGAAGGCAGGGAGCAGAATCCATCCCCCCATTTCGAAGAGGAAGAACCACCTGTTGTTCAGAACACTAGAACCTCGTCCTGCTTCCCCCAACCAAACTGGCACTGGAACATGCCGACGAAGATGTCTATACTGCCAACTTTGTGATGAGCCAGCAGGACCTGGTACCTAGACTAGATCCACATATAATCCACAGGACACGGCACCAAGGCACCAAGGCACCAAGGCAAGCTTGTCATTCTTTGTCTGCAGAGAATCCTCAACTTTATTAGACAACTTACAGACGTGTTCTTGGAGTAGTCAGTCAGGAATGACAACTTCCACGTATCTCTTGCCATCAATGTAAGGCCTATTTGGATTGTGTTCTTGTAACCACCGAGCGAACCATCTCTGCGTTCTGATCAAGGACTGCACGCAGGTAAGTGGAACATACAAGCTGAGAATTAGAAAAGGATACAAGCACTTTGAGCGGCTCCGAATAAGGCTTGGCTTTGCACAACGCTGTCAATCCCATTATCAAAGTTCGCTTTAAGGTCTTGTCGAAGGTGATCCGAGCCTTCGGTGGATCAGGTAGAGGATCCATAACCACTGCACAGGGAAAACACAATTTTATCCATTTTTGAAGCTCTCGCTTCTCAGAAGTCCAGGCATTTACCATTGGGAAAAATAAACTTGATCTCCTGTCTTGCACGTGCTGCATTAAAGCTACCATGCACTGCATTTCGCAGGATATCCCTTCCAAAGCGCGCTCGTAAGCTGGAGCAAGAACGGCGAGTATGAGAGAAGTTCATAAATCCAATCAGCAAAACAAACCTCAAAGGCGACTCTTTGCGAGCTTGCTCTGGATCCGTGGGACCGATCACAACATTCCATGACCTTGCCGCTCGCTCCTTTCCCAAGACGAACCCGTGCACAGGTCCACTGAATTGTTTACTAAAGGTTCATCAATACAACCACACAAATCGAGAGTGTATTACCTGCTCATGAACCGAGTCAATCTCTGAAACCACGGCTTGCCACGGTGATGGTCATAAAATATGCCAGCTCTCACAGAAGTAAACTGCATAAACAACAGAGCCATCAACGAAAACGGTCCAAACAAGAACAACACTCACCTTAATGTAAGCCTCGTGCACTATGACAAAACCGTGAGCATGCATTGCGTATCGTATCTCACGATCATGACCAGCTTTGAGAGCATCCGGTTTGATGAGTGCCAACGTCAGCTCGGTGTAAACAACTTTTGCGTGAGTCGGGGCTTGCTCCTTGAATTTAAGGTCTGTCTTGATGGACTCAGATACCATCTCCGATATAGATTCGTTGACGGCATCCTCGTGATCCTGATAGTACTCTTTTTCAAACTTTATGGCCTCCGAGACCACGACTGTCGTAGACTCGGCGGCCGCAGCCAGTTGATCCTGCTCGTAGGAGAATGTTTCTGATACCACACTGTCGACGGCCTTAGTGACGACTGTAGTTTCTTCTCCAGTGAGTCCTCTTTCGACGTCAACTGCCTGGACAACCAAGGAAATCGCGCTGTCTACAGCCGCAGCACTGTTCACGGAGAGTCGTGGAGATTCCGCCATTGTCTTCTCACAGTAAAACTGTCAACCTAACTCAACACTGGAAACACGCTACGTGGCAACCCCCGACAGTTATTTGGAAACGAAAAGAAAAAAAACAATACCTTTTACAGTAGTAGATACAGAAGAAGAACGACTTTCATCAGACAGTGCTCTTCGATGATTTAAGGCTCTTGGTTTTCCCAAGCAAGGACATGAACATGTTCTTGCTACGGGAAGGAACTGAGCGGAGATCTTTTGTAGGACGCTCTCCATCAGTGGACATGAGGGAAGACAATGACTTTGATTCCTCTGCGGGAGATCCCTGCCATAAAAATCAAATTACTCGACCAGTGACTAGTTTGAAAAAGTTCTTCTTACTTTGTTGGATCGTGGCGTTCCGCCTGATACTACTTGTGGCGACACCGGAAGCGTATCTATTCGTGATGTTAGACAAAAATAAACACAGTAACTGGTTCTTACCATGCGCGACGTCACGCCTTGTTCCGTTGCTGCGAAGACGCAGACGGATGAATACAAAAATCAGTGAGTGTTTGGGCCGACTCACCTGTTTGCCATTGGTTGAGGTGATCCAGCCTTAGAATCCACACCAGCACGACCTGGAGTGCCATAAGTAGAAGCTGGGAAGAAAGAAGCACGCGAATTACGTAAAGTAACGGGGAGATTTAGAAAAACACACACACATACCGTCTCTCTCAATTTCTTGCACCCGCGGACTTTTACCAGTAGAGACCATTCGAGGGGAATCATTCTGACTTTCAGGTCCAGTCACGGGTGATTTAGGCAACTCGACATCGCCATTCTCTAGAATGAAAAAAGAAAAGAAAAAACGATCAGCTATCAGCAATGCACGACAGTGTTTATAATCATAACCTGCCTGGGAAACTATAATGCTTGTGGTGCCGAGGATATGTTTTGTAGAGGCACTGCTGTTTGAGAGCTTCACGGTCCGTGTACTCTTGGCAGGTTCGATAGCGCTATGGAGACAGAGAGATCCATAAGTTCTTATTCTTATTCCAGAAACGAGAAAAGTCTACCTGAGCGAGCGATGAAATCCGGAGATCGGCAGATACGATTTCGGAGTTTTGCTGGTCGAGAAGATCATTGAGCTTGCACGCTACGGTGCCGAGATGATCTACTGCATTGACGAGCGCTTTCACAGAGTAGTCCTTAAGATTTTCCAAAACGCTGCAAACAAAAATTCCCAATCTCACTACCCCAAGAAGATAAGCAAGATCTTACGCTTGCTTTTGCTCGCTGTAGAGATACGAGGATTCGCAGTACTCCGCGGCAGAGTGTAATTGTGGTCTCAAATTCTTGAGCTCCTAACCAGCAGTCCAATGCGCGCACAGATCGAGCCACAGCGAAAGGAAGAACAAGAAAATACCTGCAAAGCCATGACGAAATGCCGGCTCCGATGCATCGAGACCTCATCGTACGTCAGCGCCGTCTCTGTGACAGTGGAGATCGTCGGCGAAGGAGACGAAGCCTGCATTGCGATCGATCGATCGCGATCGAATGAGGAGCCCTAGAGCATAAACATTAGGAAATTAAACATTAGGGCTCGGGGTTTAGTTGCCTAGTATATTCACCTTAGATTCCTTTAGGTTTTATGGAGCGCGAGTTTGTCATCTCGGCTTCCCAGGAGGAGATTCTCAGCGCAATCCCTGGATTTTGCCAGCAAGAAGAAGCTCCTGCTCCAGCGGCTGCCAATGCCGAGGTTCTTTCTCCTCCTCCTCCTGCCCTTGCGGTAGATCTCCCAGAGAGCAGCTTGGATTCGCAGCCGGTGATTCATCCCGTGGTTTTCAGCTCGCCGCCGGACACACAGCCCTCGCAGGAGATTCGCGAGGGCGAGGGCAGCGATGGCGATGGAGATGCCGATGGCGAGGGTAACAACGATCGGTTGGAGGTAAATTTCAATACCCAGGGATACATCCAATCGCCGGCTCCTCCCGCGACGAAGAATGCGGCAAGAGCAGCGGGGACTCCGCCAGACAGCCAGCGCAGCGACCGAAGCTTCAACGGGGCTTTCGAGAGCGATCGATCGCAATCGCCGTGCAGGCCATTGCACTGGCCGAATCTTCCTGGTGTGGGCTTGACCACGCAATCGCCCAGCATTCGTGGAAGGGATTGCAGTAGCTCCAGCCCGAAACAGGATGGAGGAGAGAGTGGCAGTCCAGGATTTGACACTGGTGGAAGGCGGTCGAGCGCTAAAAGGGGAAGAGAAGAAACAACGATCGCGTTGGAAAGCCTCGATTTTTCTCAGTTCGTCAGTCCAGCGAAGAACAGAGAAGCAGCGGCGACGACACCGCCACCTCGTCCATCCATTGTTGGCGATCGTCATCCAACACCGCCACCACCTCCAGCCATTGTGGGCGATCGTCACCCAACACCGGTTCCATCTCCGGGGATTGTGACACCGCCTCCAAGCTCGCACGACGTCGAGAAAGTGCTGTCGAATCCCCGCTCCATCCCCGCTCGGGATCTCATAACCACAGTGGCGTCGAGCTCCGGAGGAAAGAAGGCGAGCACCAGGCTCGCCGAGGCTGACGAGAACTTCATCAGTCCCAACTCGGAGCTTGTGACTTTGAGGAGGAGGAGGAGGAGATTGCTGAGCAGCAGCTCATCGACACCCCAACCAAGTGATGGCGGTGGCGATGGTGACCATAACGATCATCACGATCGCGATCATCACACGAGCAGCTCGAAGAAAGCGAGGACTGGAGCTCCAAGGAACGTGGAAGCTGTGATAACTTCTTGGATGAGGCCTTGCCGGGAGGTGAAGGACTTTGGAGTCGCGGCGTTCGCGGCAGCACTGCAAAGGATTGGATACAAGCTGCCTGGTTTTGGAAATGGCTAGAAAAAAAGCTGGTCCACGCCTTTTGTAAGGGACGGACGCGATTTGCGCACCCTTTTGGAACGGACGGACACGATTTGGCAGGAATTGTATTAAAGAATGATTTAGGTCATTTATTTCTTACGATGGCGAGCCAGAAGTTTTTGGTGACAATCGCTGCTGTGAGCGCTGCAGTCTTTGGAGCTGAGCAAGAACACAAGTATCATCAACAAATCGGGATGATGGCATCGTTGAAGAGAGGATGGTGTTTAACGGGAGGCGCTCTAGAGCAGGATGAAAACAGATTGGAACAAAGGGTGCTCGAGTTTTTTCGCTTCATCCCAGGCGCTAGATACTGATCTACTGAATCCTGTAACATTTAGAGAGTAGATAGAACTCTCGTTGTATGTAAGTACACTCCCCGGAACTCAAGAAATACTTTCTGAGTTATTGGGGTTGGATCTCAAGTGACCAGTTAAGCCTGGAATATAATTTCGAAAACGATTGAACGTCCACCTGCTTGTTAAAGGTCGTGGTTTCTCTTACATCATTGAGACGAGGATTCCTGTTTGTTGCTACTCACTGCAAAGATACCAAGGACAACTTTAGAGAGGCCACCGCTGCAAAGGACGCACTCATTGAGATCGTCGTCTTGTGCAAGTTTTCAGACAATAAGTACGGAAAAACACTGCGGGACCATTTCTAAGCTATACGGGAAGATTGTGCTGCGCTTGGATTGGCCTCCTAAGACGCGAGAGCTGAGCGCAAAAAGATGAAAAGGATTTGTAGAATGTAGACGAAGACATGCATGTGGTTGTGGCAGGCCCAAATCAGCTTCTTAAGATGTGCTGGATCACCGCATTCCGACCAGCATCACAATAAGCAATTGCACCTTCCAAAGCTTTTGTTGTCGCTTTTCCAGAGTGTTGCCACAACAACAATGTGAAACTTGTCGCGCGTCCCAATTTAAGGCTCTCCAGAAAGAAATGGAAGCCAAGGAGCAGCCACACTACTAGTTCGTTGTTCTCTGCTTGTATGACTTTTGTTTCATCAGCGTTCAATAACTCCAGTCTTTGGGCACTCGCTCGGTGAACTGCCACACCAGTCCTCTGTGAAGCTCTCCAAGAAGCTGGGAGTGGTTCCAGCGCTGATGATCGACTTGGCACAATGCGCACTAGAGTTTCTCACACTACACATGAAAAGAATGGGAGCGACAATGGATGGGAAAGAATTATATATAACAAGAGGAGAAAGGGTCCTAACTCATGACCCTCCAGTGACCATCTAGCCTATGTGAATCTGGAAGGTGGCAAAACATGTGCCACTTGGAGAAAAGCATATCACCTCAAGAATACAATATTGCATTTGCCTTAAATACAAACTCGAAATATTTGTTCTTTGGCAGCAGGGGGCTGAATTCTCCTGCTGGTGACCACTGAAATATAGTGACGAAACTGGTCACTCTGGAGCTCTTCACTTCCAAGAACATGGAGGTATTCAAACCTTGACGTGCTGAGGGGATTCTCCAGGTGTTGAAATCCATCACTTGCGAGGAGGGAAGCGTAGTCAGCATATGGAACCGGCTCGCTGTGCTCAACGTGAATAACATAAATCAGATGGCTTTCCACAAGCAGGTGATTGGCCATCCAATGTTTGAGAGGTTCCTGACGGTATTGAAAGAGTCATTGGATCTCGCGGCTGCATTCAATTAGGTTGTAGAAATGATCAACGAGATATACCGGATGGTTCTCGACGAGCACAAGTTAAAGAGGAAGGAAACCTACAATGCCGGTCCTTCTGATCTTGTTGATATACTCCCTGCAGAAGGTGTGGACGAGAACATAATCAAAGGAATGGTCATGGTAACTCATCGTTTTCCTGCCTTCAAAACTTCCAGACCAACTCTTTTTGAATTGAATTCTGTCGCAGGGTATGCTCTTCGCAGGAACTGAAGAGGAGCTCGATAGAGTTGTGGGACGAGACCGCCATGTGCAAGAAGAGGATCTCGTCTACTGGAATCCGCCAGTGCCGCTGGTGCTGCCACGCGAGTCAACGTGAAAGTTACGAGCATAAAGTCCCAAAAGTTTCACAGTTTATTGCCAATATCTGAACAGTTCAAGCCCGAGAGGTTCCTCCATTGTCATTGGGGGAGGGACAGACCATGGTGGAGCTCAACCTTACTAGTCTACTCCAGCCTTTCGATTGGAAAACAGTGAAGGGGATATGGAGGAGGCTCAAGGGCTGACCACCAAGATGAAAGTGCCTAGAACTCGAAGTCCTCTTGATAAACATAAACTAGCATATACCTGATTCTGCGACAGTTTTTCGTCATGGATTACCAACAAGCCCACATCTTGGCATTCCCTTTCCCAGCGCAGGGCCATATCAATCCTATGATGTTGCTGTGCCGGAAGTTTGCCTCGATGGGAATCGTCATCACCTTCCTCAACATTCGCAGCCGCCACAACAATCTGGAAGAGGGCGATGATCAGTTCAGGTACGGTTGTGAGAGTTTCTTTCCTCCCCGCAAGATCTATTTGGAACCCCAGGTTTGTGAGCATCTCGGATGAGTGCCTACCAACGGGAAGGTTGGGAAACAACGTGATGAGGTATCTTATGGCTTTGGAAGAAGGAATGAGGGGTGAATTTGAGCAGATAGTGGCGGATCTCACGGCCGACTCTAGTCGCCCTCCATTGACTTGCATCCTCTCCGATGCTTTCATGAGCTGGACTCACGATGTAGCCAGCAAGTTTGGAATCTGCCGTGCAGCGCTCTGGACGAGCTCTGCAACTTGGGCTCTCTTGTCTCTACGCATCCCATTGCTCAGGGATAACGGAGTCCTGCCAGTGAATGGTAGGCCGAGAAATCTTTCGTTTTCTTTGGTTATAGATCCGTATGTATTCCACAGGGATTCGAAGTAGCAAGATCCTAGACTTTGTACCCGGACTTCCACCAATCCCAGCACGGTTTCTTCCGGAGACGCTGCAGCCCGATGAGAAAGACCCGGACTTCCGGTTGAGGATTCGAAGGAATAGTGTCATGCAGAAGGACGCGTGGGTGCTGCTCAACTCGGTCTACGAGATGGAGCCATTGCAGCTGGAGGAGCTTGCCAGCAGCGACAATCTGCACTTCATCGCCGTCGGGCCCTTGCAATGCCTTACGCAACCGTCGAAGGAACATGCTTCTCAGTGGCAGCAGGATCGAAGCTGCCTGGAATGGCTGGACAAGCAAGCTCCGGGCTCGGTCGTCTACATCTCGTTTGGAAGCTTGGCCATCCTATCATATGATCAGGTGGAGGAGATACTGACCGGGCTGAACAAGAGCGGCCATGCATTCTTGTGGGTCATCCGGCTTGACCTTTTCGAAGGCGAGGAGATCCGAGCCAAGTTCCTGGAAAAGATCAGTCTCATAGATCGAGGTATTGTCATCCCATGGGCTCCTCAACTAGAGGTTCGTTTTATCATTTGATGATTCTCTAGGTGATCAACATTGAAATTAAGAATCCCTCCCCAGGTACTACAGCATCGATCCGTGGGAGCGTTTCTCACTCACTCTGGATGGAATTCCGTCATGGAGGCACTTGCAGCTGGTGTTCCACTGCTGTGTAAGCCTTGCTTTGCCGATCAGATCCTAAACACCGCTCTTGTGGTGGATCACATCAAAGCTGGCCTTCGTGCCACCAAGCCAGACGATGACAAAGAGGTGAGTTCAAGCCGCATTCACGAGGTGGTGAGTTTTGCCATGGGAGATGACGGGGGTGAGCTCAGAGAAAGAGTTAAACGGTTGGGTCAGACTCTGGCAGAAGCGGCCGAGCATGGAGGATCCTCGTTGTTAAACTTGCAAGCTTTCTGCCAGGACATGAAACGTAGACAGGCTGCCAGAGTAGAATGATAAATCCTTAAAATTATCAATCTCATGTTGAGATAGAAGTCTTGCCCAAACAATTTCATTAACAAATCCTGGAAAAGTGGCAGAAGTCGCCATTGGTGGTGACATTGCAACGTTGGCAAATTCTGATCACCCATATGATACTGCTGCAAAAGTTGCTGCTTTATTTGAATTGGCAAACAGCTGGTGGGTCTTTAGATCTAGGTGGTATGTCCTGACATCACATTGGCCTGGTATATTGAGGACAATTTTTGCCAAGCTGTTGAAGATTTGTCAGCTGAAGATTCAAAAAGAGACAAGTTCTTTGTAGTTCCTGCTGTACCTATGGCAACTGAAAAGTGATGTGGTGATAATGTTTGTGGGGTGTTGGTTCATTGCATTTTTTGCATATGAATTTTAAAGTATCAATAAGCCACCCAATAAAACATTCATATCTAGGGTTCTTCTTTAATTGCAAGTTGAAAAGAATGATCTGATTAAGTTCTCCAGAATTTTCCATAATAGCAACATCTAGAACATTTTCTCTTATTTATTAATTTAATTGATAAAATGAAAGTTTATAATTATAAACATGTTTATAATTTATAAACACAAGATTAATCTTATTGAATATCAACCATTAAATGGTAGAATAAACTAGAATATACTAAAAAGTGTTTAAATAATAATAGTTATCCTAAAATATCTAAGTCTATTCTAAATATATTCAGGATATATGCTTATGTAAAACCTTTTGCTTGTGGTGCCAAAAAACCTCCACCACACTTGAAAAGCAGGTTAATGGGCACTGTCTACCGGACCCTGCTACTTGCAAACTCTGCTCCTGAGCAGTCTTCTTCATTTCCTTCCCGCCATAAAAGGGATCATGCTGCTGTGCAAAACAGAGAAATGGAAGCCCTGTCTATCATCCTAGTGGGAGCAGCTACACTAGTTCTATGCTCGCTCTTTGCATCGCGCTTCTTGTATCCGCTTCCACCGGGTCCATGGGGTACTCCACTCTTTGGGCATTTGTACTCGCTCGGGGAATTGCCACACCAGACTCTCTCAAAGCTCTCCAAGAAGTATGGCCCGATCATGACTGTCAGGCTGGGAATGGTTCCAGCACTGGTGATTGACTCGCCGCAGTGGGCACGAGAATTTCTTACAACACATGATATTGCATTTGCCTCTAGGCCTCAGAATACAAACTCGAAGTATTTGTTCTTTAATGGCAGCGACGTTGGGTTTTCTCCGTATGGTGAGCACTGGAGGAATCTGAAGAAACTCATCACTATGGAGCTCTTCACCGCCAAGAAGATGGAGGTTTTCAAATCTCTACGTGCCAATGGGATCCTCCGCGTGCTGAAATCCATCGCTGCGGAGGAAGGCAACGTAGTCAGCATAAGGAATTTGCTCTCTATGCTCAACATGAACAACATAAGTCAGATGGCTTTCAGCAAGCAAGTAATTGATGATCCAATATTTCAGAGGTTCCTGGCGGTATTGGAAGAGTCACTGGATCTCATGGCAGTCTTTGTTCTTGGAGATTTCATTCCATTCCTTAAGTGGTTTGATCCTTACGGTTATGTTGAAAAAATGAAGGCCAACCGTAAAGAAATCAGCGGGATATACCAGATGATTATTGATGAGCACAAGTTGAAGAGAAAGGAAAATTGCACTCCCACTGATCTCGTGGATATACTCCTCTCACAAGGGGTGGACGAGACCACAATCAAAGGAACGATCATGGTAATCACCATTTGTGTGCATTGTAAGTTTCATAAACCCACTCTTTCGAATCTTGTCACAGGGCATGTTCGTCGCAGGAACTGACACATCTTCACTCACGTCGGAGTGGGCTCTTACCTCGCTCATAAACAATCCAAGCTGCATGAAGAGAGCCCAGGAGGAGCTCGATAGAGTTGTGGGGCGAGAGCGCCGTGTCCAAGAAGAGGATCTATCCAGTCTTGTCTACTTGAAAGCCATTGTCAAGGAGACCTTCCGGCTGCATCCGCCCGCGCCGCTTCTGCTGCCACGCGAGTCAACCCAGGAGTGTACAGCCAAAGGCGGGTACAAAATCCCCAAAGGTACACGACTCATTATCAATACCTGGTCAATCGGCCGAGACCCCAGCCTGTGGGAGTCGCCTGAAGAGTTCAAGCCCGAGAGATTCCTTGAAAAGTCCATCGATATCAAGGGACAAGACTTTGAGCTCATTCCTTTCGGTGCCGGGCGGAGGATTTGTGCTGGTTTGCCGCTGGGACAGACCATGGTGGAGCTCACCCTGGCTAGCCTGCTACAAGCGTTTGAATGGAAGACAGACAAAACGCTGGATATGGAGGAGTCTGAAGGGCTGACAACCAGGATGAAAGTTCCACTCGCAGCACATGTTACATGCAGGACTTCTCTCAAGTTCTGAATCTTTGCATATCAGATTTGGTCCTCCTATTATAGCTTTGTTGTGAGATGCCAAAGCCTTATCTAATTCATCCTTTGTGTTTAAGATTTTATTATTAGGTTATTCAACTCTGTGTTTTCTTGCAACCAAAAGTACCACAACACAGCCAGTCCAAAGTTGCGTCGTTGGTCTCCAAGAAACGTGGAAGCTTTGACAACTTCTTGGAGGAGACTCTAGAGTCGCTGCCGAAAGTATAGGATACAAGCTGCCCCGCCTCCTAAGGTGGAGAACTTTTGCTTGGTTCTGGAAGTGTTGGAAATGACTAACCTCTTGCTCTTGCTTCCGGAACTCAAGAAATACTTTCTGAGTTATTGGTTGGATCTCAAGTGAACTTGAAAACCAGTTTAGCCTGGAATATAATTTCGAAAAGGATTGAGCGTCCACGACCTCGCTCACCCACTTGTTAAAGGTCACGGTTTCTCTTACATCATTGAGACGAGGATTTCTGTTTGTTGCTACTCACCGCAAAGGTACCAAGGACAACTTTAGAGAGGCGACCACTGCAAAGGACGCACTCATTGAGATCGTCGTCTTGTGCAAGTTTTCAGACAATAAGTGCGGAAAAACATTGCGGGGCCACTTCTAAGCTACACGAGAAGATTGTGCTGCGCTTGGATTGGCCTCCTAGGACGCGAGAGCTGGGCGCAAAAAGATGAAAAGGATTTGTAGACGAAGACGTGCATGTGGTTGTGGCAAGCCCAAATCAAGCAATTGCACCTTCCAAAGTTTTCATTGTCGCTTTTCCAGAGTGTGGCCAGAACAACAATGTGAAACTTGTCCCGCATCCCGCTCTCCAGATGCGAAACAAAAGAAATGGAAGCCAAGGTCATACTAGGAGCAGCCACACTACTAGTTCGTTGTTCTCTGCTTGTATGACTTTTGTTTCATCAGCGTTCATTAACTCCAGTCTTTGGGCACTCGCTCGGTGAACTGCCACACCAGTCCCTTGTGAAGCTCTCCAAGAAGCTGGGAGTGTTTCCAGCGCTGATGATCGACTCAGCGCAATGCGCACGAGAGTTTCTCACACTACACATGAAAAGAATGGGAGCGACAATGGATGGGAAAGAATTATATATAACAAGAGGAGAAAGGGTCCTAACTCATGACCCTCCAGTGACCATCTAGCCTATGTGAATCTGGAAGGTGGCAAAACATGTGCCACTTGGATGTCATGAGGAGAAAAGCATATCACCTCAAGAATACAATATTGCATTTGCCTTAAATACAAACTCGAAATATTTGTTCTTTGGCAGCAGGGGGCTGAATTCTCCTGCTGGTGACCACTGAAATATAGTGACGAAACTGGTCACTCTGGAGCTCTTCACTTCCAAGAACATGGAGGTGTTCAAACCTTGACGTGCTGAGGGGATTCTCCAGGTGTTGAAGTCCATCACTCGCAAGGAGGGAGCATATGGAACCGGCTCACTGTGCTCAACGTGAATAACATAACTCAGATGGCTTTCCACAAGCAGGTGATTGGCCATCCAATGTTTGAGAGGTTCCTGACGGTATTGAAAGAGTCATTGGATCTCGCGGCTGCATTCAATTAGGTTGTAGAAATGATCAACGAGATATACCGGATGGTTCTCGACGAGCACAAGTTAAAGAGGAAGGAAACCTACAATGCCGGTCCTTCTGATCTTGTTGATATACTCCCTGCAGAAGGTGTGGACGAGAACATAATCAAAGGAATGGTCATGGTAACTCATCGTTTTCCTGCCTTCAAAACTTCCAGAACAACTCTTTTTGAATTGAATTCTGTCGCAGGGTATGCTCTTCGCGGGAACTGAAGAGGAGCTCGATAGAGTTGTGGGACGAGACCGCCATGTGCAAGAAGAGGATCTCGTCTACTGGAATCCGCCAGTGCCGCTGGTGCTGCCACGCGAGTCAACGTGAAAGTTACGAGCATAAAGTCCCAAAAGTTTCACAGCTTATTGCCAATATCTGAACAGTTCGGTTCCTCCATTGTCATTGGGGGAAAAGACTTTGGGCTAACCTATCAGGACTGGGACAGACCATGGTGGAGCTCAACCTTACTAGTCTACTCCAGGCTTTCGACTGGAAAACAGTGAAGGGGATATGGAGGAGGCTCAAGGGCTTGTTGTGGTGTGAAAAGGGATGAACATAACACTCATGAGCTCGTTCATTGTGTTCCGACTCTTTTTACATGACTTGACTCATGACCACGTGGACATGCCACGTCAGCTGATCGAGACTGACATCTCGACACTCCATCAGCTGAGAGGATGGACTACCCCTCCCACTCAGCCGAAACAGATGGAGAGCAGACTCCCAGTGCAGCACAATGGCGTTCAAAGGAGTCTCGAGCCAAAGCCTTCGTGAGTATATCAGCCACCATTGCCTCGGTGGGGCAATATTCCAGCAACAACTTTCCATTTTGGACTTGTTCCCTCACGTAGTGGAAACGAATCTCGATGTGTTTCGTCCGAGAATGGAAGCGTGGATTGGCGGCCAGTGCAAGAGCACTTTGGTTGTCCGAGAACAGCACCATAGGGCCGGTGCAAGCAGGAATCTGGGGCAGGTCACGGCAGAACTGGGTCAACCAAATCGCTTCTTTGCTGGCAGCGGTTAGGGCAATGTACTCTGCCTCTGTCGAGGACAGAGCCACCAGCGGCAGCCGCTTACTGAGTCTAAGACCACTTGCAATATAGTTTTGTCTTTCCAAGATTAAGCTATCCATCCATGAGTGATCATCCCATGATTGCACCTTAACATCCTTATAATGCCCCAATACATAAAAAACACCATCCTTCAATATCCTTATTTTGGTCCCCATTGAATCCCTTTCCGTCAATTGTAGTGTTTGCCAACACTACCACTGGGTCAAAGCCCAAAGGCCCAACCATTAAATTTCTTTGACTTGTGGACTTTCCTCACCACATGATTATACTTTTAGTCACTAAGCAAGAGGACCATTCCTTTTTTTTTTTATAGTCCAAAACTTAAGGATGACATTTCAAAACACCACAGCTCAATGCAAGCTTTGTGAGTACTCTCCCCATCTTCTACCACTAGGATGCCCTAACCATATGACTAAAGTGAGGTTTTGATGAGCCACACAATATATCCAAATAGGTAATGCCAACCACACTTAAATTGGGAGTATTGACCATTTAATATATTGGGGGAGATAAAGTTAATTCTTGAACACTTCACTAAATTACCCCACTTGTTTATTTGTGTTTAATTTAGCCTTAAACTCCTCATGGTTATATCATCACCCACTGATGTAGCCATAAAGTGGTGTAAGACCAGGCTTAAGTGGACATTGCCAATAGAAATTTACAAACCTTAAAAATATGACCAAGATGAAAAATCAACTCTGAAATATATGGATTGAAAGTAGCATGATATTGATTTAACAATTTTCCCTTTTTTTAAGTATATTATTATCCTTTTCTAATTTCAATTTCTCACATTTCTTTGTATGAGTTTTGAGATGCTAGCTGTCAAGATCTTCATTCTGTTTTACATTTATTTTTCATCTAACATTAGCTTCATCTATCATGATTAAATCCACTCTTCCCTTCAAGTATGCCAACTTCAAAGATGTTTGTTGACAAAAGGAGAGCTAACATTTTGCCATCATATCAATCTTGTGGAGGGGAAATCACCACTATTTTATCTTATCTACAATCTTTAATCAATAGAATTATAGTGTAATATAGGCATATCTATTACAAATGTGTCTATGCAGTATCAAAAGTTATATATTGGCTTGTCTTTTTGGATATTTTTCTTTTATTACCATGATAGTAGAAGATTGGTATTGTTAGACTCTTTATCAATCTCTACCTATGCTAGTTCAGAAACTAGTTAGTAAATGTGTGCTTAGACTGGAAGAACACTAAGAACAAAAATCTTAAACTATTATTTAGTCAATTATATTTGATATGGTGATGAGAAACTCATATTATTATATTACACTTGGTAATGTTATGAACCCCAATAGTCCCTTAATATTCCCTTCATCGAGGAGGCAAATAAGGCTTATGCGAGGCTCTAAATGTATAGTAAAGAGAATGGATAAGTAGGGCATAGTTGAGCAACTTGATATATTGTCTAGCTCTTTGTTAATCTAGTTTAGGTGTAAGCCCAAACTCCATACTATGCTAGCTAATGAGGTACTTATATCCTTGTGTATAGGCTATTTGTATGTTGAAATAATATCAAATTTTGTTTAGCTTTCATTTGTATGCTAATTTTGATCTTAAAAGTTTTAGGACTATTCTAATATTGTTCCATATTCATATTCCTTAGTAATGAATATAATATATTGAGATGTTGGTACCCTTGGATGTTGGAAGTAAAATCAAATACATGGAATATTTGGACTAAGTGCCAAGCCAATATAATCTTGAGATTACATCTAGGGGTAAGCAAGTACCCTAAGACAAATGAAGAGAGTGAAATTCCTTAAAAAAGTCATAGGTATGGTTATATGACTAAAGTAGAATGAAAAAGCTTGTCCCTTATAACACGTTTGGACTAAAACTTTTGACTTAAATAGTTCAGAATAGAAATGGAACTTCTAAAGAAGCATTTAAAGGATGAGTATGAAGATATCAAAGAATGAGCACAAAGTGATTGATAAACAAGTCTTTAAAAAGGGACAAAAGAATGATTAAAATGTGGCAAATGTTATGACACATGGAAGTGTTAAGACTAAAGTCCTAGAACCTAAGAGCTCAAAGTGGAATGATGTTGGAATTAATTTACCCCATTAAGAAACTAAATGTTTGAAGTGTCAAATATGGAGATATCTTGGGCTTGATATATCTAGGGTTGCATATATCAAGTTTCTATGGAGGATTCTAGGGGAATTAGTATGACTAAGGAAGGCTATATTCATAATATGAACACAAGGGAATTTAAGGCTAAAGTGAATATAAATAAAATGACTTAATGATGTGTTTAAGAGTTGCTAGCTCCTTTAGAAGATTAAATAATTAATGCTACTTATTTAGATACTTTGACTCAAAGAAACCTCACTTTAGCCATGTGGCTAATGTTATTAAGACTTAGTAGATGGGCATTTATGACTTGACCTAGTAGCAATATTCACAAGCATTTAATGGGGATTGAAAAAAGGACACAGCAGCCCCATGGAGCAAGAACGTATACCCGGAGGTAGAGCGCCTTGAGTCCTGGTCGCCCGCCCAGTCCGCATCCGAGGACCCATGAAGTTCCTGTGACACAGCAGCGCCATAGTGAAGCTGCAAATGCAAGGTACCTCGAACGTAGCGGAAAATCCGCTTCACAGCTTGCCAATGTGCAGGTCCAGGGTTCTCGAGGAACTGGGAGACCATCCCAACAGCATAGGCGAGATCTGGTCGCGTTCCCAGCATCAAATAAACAAGACTTCCCACAGCTTGACGATATGGCACCGTGGCCATGTACTCTCGTTCTTCCTCCGTGACAGGGGCCATGTCACGGCTGAGTTTGTGATTGACCTCAAGAGGTGCAGCATATTGAAGCGTTCCAAGATCTCCCTTGATAATGAGCTTGTGTCAAACTCAAGGTGCATGCTCCTCGATTGCGTATAATTTGGATGCCAAGGAAATGGCGAAGCTCGCCCAGGTCAGACATCTCAAATTCTTCACTCAGCTTCTTTTTCATCTCGTCCAGCAGGTGGCGGGTTTTTGCACCGAGAATGCAGTCGTCAACGTACACAGCAACCAGGAGAAAATCGTCACCACACTTGTACAGCTACACGTTTCCTTCCACTGCAAGAGGAACACACCCCAGGCTCTTGAAGAACGCATCAATGCGTTCAAACCAAACCCGTGGGGATTGTTTAAGCCCATACAGGGCGCGATTCAGCTTGCAAACAAGATGTTCCTCACCAGGTTTGACGAATCCAGGTGGTTGCTTGACGTAGACCTCCTCGTTCAACTTGCCGTGCAGGAAAGCAGTGCGAACGTCCCACTGGTGCAGTTCCAGGTCGTACTTGGCAGCCAGTGCAAGGATCACTCGCACAGAGGTCAACTTCACAACTGGTGAGTACGTCTCCATGTATTCCAAACCTGGAATCTGGCTGAAGCCCCGTGCGACAAACCTGGCCTTGAACTTTGCTACAGTTCCAGTCTGTACTTGACTGTGTAAATCCATTTCGAGCTCACAAGGTGAGCACCTTCAGGTAAGGTTGTCTTTGTCATTGTATTGTTTCGCTCATGCGAATGCATTTCAGCATTCATGGCTTCTCGCCACTGGGCAGCATGAGGTCCAGCTAATGCCTCGTCAACATTCGCTGGAATGGGGATTCGCTCTGGATTAGCAGCCACGAAGTTAGCCTGGTGCGTTCCTTTCTTTTTAATTTTTCCAAAACTAAAGAAGGGACGAGATTGCTCAGCTTCCAGTTGCAGCCTCGATGGTACAGGAACTCGAGCAGAGCGCCGTGGTTCAGGACGTGCTGGAGGGTGGATCACAGGTGGTGGAACAAGTGGAGAGTCTGGGAGAGCTCCCACTGAAGTTGGCGACCTGCTTCCAGCTCCCACTGAAGGTGATGATCCACGTCCAGCTCCCACTGAAGATGAGCCGAGGAAGAACTCAGGAGCAGCTTGAAATTCCTCGTCGCCCTCGAAGTAAGTGTTCATCAGCTCTTCAGAGAAGTTAGGTGTTCTCACTGGAGGAGATTCTTGCAGAGGCGTAACTGGAGGGCGTGGTGGCAGTGCTGGAAGAACCACCACGTTACCACCAGCAGGAGCAAGAGGCAGCAACGGGACTTGAGAAGGAGCTGTAATCACGTGAACTGTGTCCACCCCATGGAAGTAGGAGCAGGAACTTCAGCGTGATTCTTGTACAGCTTGCTCTCATCAAAGAGCACATCCCGTCTTTCCAGCAAAGTCTTGCGCTTGAGAGAATAAAGGCGATAGCCTTTCATGCCTTCCAAATATCCCAGGAAAATGGATGGCTCAGCCTTTGACTCCAGCTTTCGGCGTTGCTTGCATAGGCGAAACAGCCAAAAATGCGGAGATGATCATAACCAGGTGCGTGACCAGTCCAAAGCTCATAAGGAGTGGTCTTCCCAGGCAGCGCACGTGTTGGCAACCGGTTTCGAACATAAACAGCCGTGTTAACTGCCTCTCCCCAGAAAGCAGCCGGCATTCCTGCGTGAAGCAGCATACAGCGTGCAGCTTCTATGATGGTGCGATTCACCCTCTCGGCAGCACCATTCTGGGCATGTGCATCAGGGACAGCATACTGGCGCTGGATCCCAGCTTCAGCACAAAACGTCTCGAATTCTCCAGAGACGAATTCTCCTCCACGATCACAGCGGAGCACACGAACTAAACAGCCGTGTAGATTTTCTACCAAAGCCTTGTATTGGCTAAAACAGGAGAACACTTCTGACTTATGAGCCAGCAGATACACGATCAGGTACCGCGTGTAATCATCCAGGAAGGTGACTACGTAACGTTTGCCTCCCAAAGATTCAACCATAATTGAACAAACGTCCGAGTGTACCAACTCAAGAACAGAACTTGCTCGAGAATGAGAAATCTGTGGAAAAGGAAAAACGTGGTGTTTTCCACCAACACAAGTTTCGCAAAAGAGGCGCCACAGGAACATCCACCTTTTTGAGCTGTTGCTCGTTCACGTGACCAAGGCGCTGGTGCCAGGTTGCAAGTGTCGGTGGAACCCGAGCCATCAGCGCCACAGGTGGAAGGATCACGTGAGCATCCAGGCGGTAGAGCGTATCAACTGGAACTCCAAAAGCGACCTTGTCTCCAGTCTCGGCATCCAGCACGAACGCTCCCTGTGCTGTGAACAGAGTATCGAAGCCTACTTGAGCAGCAGTTCCAATCGACAGCAGCGTGTGTGTAAGTCCCGGAACATAAGACACAGGATAGATCTCCCGGATTTCTCCAGAAGAGAGCTGAACCCTGATTGTTCCTTTGCCTAGTACGTCGTGAGCAGAGGAGTCACCGAGTCCCACGGCGTCACTCTCACACGGTTCTTGGTAGGAAGCCATGGGCGTCATATGGAATGACGCTCCAGAATCCAGCCACAGCTCTGGTCCGAGCACGGGCTGGTGGCTGCTGCTTGCAGAGCGAGCCATCAAGAGCTTACGAGGAGTCCCAGAGCCCTTGTCTTTGTTTCCTTTGTCTTTGTTCTTGGCAGCTTTAGCACGATCAGCTTTCTTCTTCTTGCAATCCCTCGCCAAGTGTCCAGGTTTGTGGCAATAGTGACAAATGCCACGAAAACCAGTGTCGTTCGGCTGAGCTTGAGAGGACGAGGATGATCCTCCCGCAGCGCCAGCATAAAGCAAGGAAGATTTGGCTGAGGGCATCGCTTCTTTCTTCTGCGTTCCTCTCCAATTAGGGCACCCACGACTTGATCAAAGTTCATGGCCATGTGAGATAGAAGAGATGCGAGCGTGCTAAACGCAGGCGTGACGGTTGCAAGCAGCAACGCCCTGGCGCGATCGTGACAGGAGGCCCAGCACCAGTCAATTCAGCCATTAGCCCTCGAATCCGTCCCACGTACACAGCAATGGTTTCACCTGTTTCCATGTGAAGCGCCAAGAGTTGTTGATTCAGCAGCATGGAAGAATTTGCGGCTTGGGCCACGAAGATCGTGCGAAGCGACGTCCAGATTTCCGGTCTTGGTGAGATCAATCAGCGGCAAGAATTCATCGCTCAATCCCAAGCTAATGAGGGTGATGGCTTGCTGATTGCGAAAATCCCAATCTGATTGTAGCGTCTGCTCAGCGGGACGAGGTTCAGTCCCATCAACGATGTTCCACGCCCGTTTTGCAGAGAGAATCAGCCTGATTCTTGTCGCCCATGTGAAGAAATTCGTGCCACTGAATTTCTCCACCTTCTCTGTGGAAGCCAACCGGTGGCGGTGGCGGCGGCAGCAGCGGCGGTGGTGGTGGGGGCGGCAGAGGTGGTTAAGGATCATCCCCGAAATCCAATACCATGTTGTGGTGTGAAAAGGGATGAAGGACTTCCCGGGTAGGGCGAGCACGTTCCCGCCCAGAACGGGCGAGCCGGGCATTGCTGGGCATTAGCCTGGTGAGCATGGAACGTGCGAGCCCGTGCCCGGGAACGACCTTAATGGGCTATGGCGAAACCATTAATGGACACATGGAAGAATGTTATTCAAGGATGAGAGGGTTCTCCAAAATTGGCAGTTGGTAACCTAATTCTCTAGAACCTAGCAGTTGGCAATTAGGTTCTGGAGAACCTGGCAATTGTCAACCTGCAGAGAATTTAACTCGATCTGACAGTTGCTAATGGTTGAATTAAGTTAATAGGCAAGCCACAGCCCGTTAAGGACATAACACTCATGAGCTCGTTCATTGTGTTCTGACTCTTTTTACATGACTCAAGGGACATGACTCATGACCACGTGGACATGCCACGTCAGCTGATCAAGACTGATATCTCGACAGGGCTGACCACCAAGATGAAAGTGCCTAGAACTCGAAGTCCTCTTGATAAACATAAACTAGCATATACCTGATTCTGCAATAGTTTTTCGTCATGGATTCCCAACAAGCCCACATCTTGGCATTCCCTTTCCCAGCGCAGGGCCATATCAATCCTATGATGTTGCTGTGCCGGAAGTTTGCCTCGATGGGAATCGTCATCACCTTCCTCAACATTCGCAGCCGCCACAACAATCTGGAAGAGGGCGATGATCAGTTCAGGTACGGTTGTGAGAGTTTCTTTCCTCCCCGCAAGATCTATTTGGAACCCAGGTTTGTGAGCATCTTGGATGAGTGCCTACCAACGGGAAGGTTGGGAAACAACGTGATGAAGTATCTTATGGCTTTGGAAGAAGGAATGAGGGGTGAATTTGAGCAGATAGTGGCGGATCTCACGGCCGACTCCAGTCGCCCTCCATTGACTTGCATCCTCTCCGATGCTTTCATGAGCTGGACTCACGATGTAGCCAGCAAGTTTGGAATCTGCCGTGCAGCGCTCTGGACGAGCTCTGCAACTTGGGCTCTCTTGTCTCTACGCATCCCATTGCTCAGGGATAACGGAGTCCTGCCAGTGAATGGTAGGCCGAGAAATCTTTCGTTTTTTTTGGTTATAGATCCGTATGTATTCCACAGGGATTCGAAGTAGCAAGATCCTAGACTTTGTACCCGGACTTCCACCAATCCCAGCACGGTTTCTTCCGGAGACGCTGCAGCCCGATGAGAAAGACCCGGACTTCCGGTTGAGGATTCGAAGGAATAGTGTCATGCAGAAGGACGCGTGGGTGCTGCTCAACTCGGTCTACGAGATGGAGCCATTGCAGCTGGAGGAGCTTGCCAGCAGCGACAATCTGCACTTCATCACCGTCGGGCCCTTGCAATGCCTTATGCAACCGTCGAAGGAACATGCTTCTCAGTGGCAGCAGGATCGAAGCTGCCTGGAATGGCTGGACAAGCAAGCTCCGGGCTCGGTCGTCTACATCTCGTTTGGAAGCTTGGCCATCCTATCATATGATCAGGTGGAGGAGATACTGACCGGGATGGAGAAGAGCGGCCATGCATTCTTGTGGGTCATCCGGCTTGACCTTTTCGAAGGCGAGGAGATCCGAGCCAAGTTCCTGGAAAAGATCAGTCTTATAGATCGAGGTATTGTCATCCCATGGGCTCCTCAACTAGAGGTTCGTTTTATCATTTGATGATTCTCTAGGTGATCAACATTGAAATTAAGAATCCCTCCCCAGGTACTACAGCATCGATCCGTGGGAGCGTTTCTCACTCACTCTGGATGGAATTCCGTCATGGAGGCACTTGCAGCTGGTGTTCCACTGCTGTGTAAGCCTTGCTTTGCCGATCAGATCCTAAACACCGCTCTTGTGGTGGATCACATCAAAGCTGGCCTTCGTGCCACCAAGCCAGACGATGACAAAGAGGTGAGTTCAAGCCGCATTCACGAGGTGGTGAGTTTTGCCATGGGAGATGACGGGGCTGAGCTCAGAGAAAGAGTTAAACGGTTGGGTCAGACTCTGGCAGAAGCAGCCGAGCATGGAGGATCCTCGTTGTTAAACTTGCAAGCTTTCTGCCAGGACATGAAACATAGACAGGCTTCCAGAGTAGAATGATAAATCTTTAAAATTATCAATCTCATGTTGAGATCATTAACAAATCCTGGAAAAGTGGCAGAAGTCGCCATTGGTGGTGACATTGCAACGTGGGCAAATTCTGATCACCCATATGATACTGCTGCAAAAGTTGCTGTTTTATTTGAATTGGCAAATAGTTGGTGGGTCTTTAGATCTAGGTGGTATGTCCTGACATCGCATTGGCCTCGTATATTGAGGACAATTTATAGTTATCCTAAAATATCTAAGTCTATTCTAAATATATTCAGGATATTATTATTATTAAATGGTTATGTAAAACCTTTTGATCTTTACGTGTGTGCTTGTGGTGCCAAAAACCCTCCCCCACACTTGAAAAGCAGGTTAATGGGCATTGTCTACCGTACTTACCCACACCTAGTTGCAGTCTTCTTCATTTTCTTCCACGAACTCGCCATAAAAGGGATCATGCTGCTGTGCAAAACAGAAAAATGGAAGCCCTGTCTATCATCCTAGTGGGAGCAGCTACACTAGTTCTATGCTCGCTCTTTGCATCGCGCTTCTTGTATCCGCTTCCACCGGGTCCATGGGGTACTCCACTCTTTGGGCATTTGTACTCGCTCGGGGAATTGCCACACCAGACTCTCTCAAAGCTCTCCAAGAAGTATGGCCCGATCATGACTGTCAGGCTGGGAATGGTTCCAGCACTGGTGATTGACTCGCCGCAGTGGGCACGAGAATTTCTTACAACACATGATATTGCATTTGCCTCTAGGCCTCAGAATACAAACTCGAAGTATTTGTTCTTTAATGGCAGCGACGTTGGGTTTTCTCCGTATGGTGAGCACTGGAGGAATCTGAAGAAACTCATCACTATGGAGCTCTTCACCGCCAAGAAGATGGAGGTTTTCAAAGCTCTACGTGCCAATGGGATCCTCCGCGTGCTGAAATCCATCGCTGCGGAGGAAGGCAACGTAGTCAGCATAAGGAATTTGCTCTCTATGCTCAACATGAACAACATAAGTCAGATGGCTTTCAGCAAGCAAGTCATTGATGATCCAATATTTCAGAGGTTCCTGGCGGTATTGGAAGAGTCACTGGATCTCATGGCAGTCTTTGTTCTTGGAGATTTCATTCCATTCCTTAAGTGGTTTGATCCTTACGGTTATGTCGCAAAAATGAAGGCCAACCGTAAGGAAATCAGCGGGATATACCAGATGATTATTGATGAGCACAAGTTGAAGAGAAAGAAAAATTGCACTCCCACTGATCTCGTGGATATACTCCTCTCACAGGGGGTGGACGAGACCACAATCAAAGGAACGATCATGGTAATCACCATTTGTGTGCATTGTAAGTTTCATAAACCCACTCTTTCGAATCTTGTCACAGGGCATGTTCGTCGCAGGAACTGACACATCTTCACTCACGTCGGAGTGGGCTCTTACCTCGCTCATAAACAATCCAGGCTGCATGAGGAGAGCTCAGGAGGAGCTCGATAGAGTTGTGGGGCGAGAGCGCCGTGTCCAAGAAGAGGATCTATCCAGTCTTGTCTACCTGAAAGCCATTGTCAAGGAGACCTTCCGGCTCCATCCGCCCGCGCCTCTTCTGCTGCCACGCGAGTCAACCCAGGAGTGTACAGTCAAAGGCGGGTACAAAATCCCCAAAGGTACACGACTCATTATCAATACCTGGTCAATCGGCCGAGACCCCGTCTCCTGAAGAGTTCAAGCCCGAGAGATTCCTTGGAAAGTCCATTGATATCAAGGGACAAGACTTTGAGCTCATTCCTTTTGGTGCCGGGCGGAGGATTTGTGCTGGTTTGCCGCTGGGACAGACCATGGTGGAGCTCACCCTGGCTAGCCTGCTACAAGCGTTTGAATGGAAGACAGACAAAACGCTGGATATGGAGGAATCCGAAGGGCTGACAACCAGGATGAAAGTTCCACTCGCAGCACATGTTACACGCAGGACTTCTCTCAAGTTCTAAATCTTTGCATATCAGATCTGGTCCTCCTATTATAGCTTTGTTGTGAGATGCCAAAGCCTTATCTACCATAATTCATCCTTTGTGTTTAAGATTTTATTATTGGGGTTATTTGTGTTTTCTTGCAACCATAAGTACCACAACACAGCCAGTCCAAAGTTGCGTCAAATCCACCGGTGGTCTCCAAGAAACGTGGAAGCTTTGACAACTTCTTGGAGGAGACTCTAGAGTCGCCGCCGAAAGTATAGCATACAAGCTGCCCCGCCTCCTAAGGTGGAGAACTTTTGCTCGGTTCTGGAAGTGTTGGAAATGACTAACCTCTTTGCTTCCATACTGCTTGCTAGATCAACACAAAACTCTTATCTCCTGCCTGTCAGTAAGAAGAGGACGAAGGGGGACGATTTCCCGGTGGATACGGAGAGCCTCTCTCCTGCGGTGGAGCTGACGTCCCGTCCTGGTTGTACTGCTGATGCTGCTGCTGCTGCTGCTGTGATGGATACTGCTGCTGCTGCTGTGATGGATACTGCTGCTGCTGCTGCTGCGGTGCGTACTGCTGCTGTGGAGGGTATTGCTGCTGCGGTGGTGGCGAGTTTTGATACTGGTTGTACTGCGGCGGTGGCGCGTTTTGGTTATACTGTTGCTGCTGGTATGGTGGTGCGTTCTGGTATGGCGGCGGGCTGGAAGGACCGTTCTGGTACTGTGGAGCTCCTGACGCTGGAGGAGCCTGAGAGTAACCAGCGCCATATCCTCCGGATTGAGAGTAAGGTGATCCCGCTCCCTGCGAGTAGCCACCGCCGCCAGCCGGTGGAGCTTGTGTCCCTGCTGCTGAGTATCCGCCTGGAGCACCTGCGGCCGAGTATCCTCCCTGCCTTGGAGGCTGCTGCGAGTAAGGTGCCTGACCACCACCTCCTGCGGCCGAGTATCCTCCCTGTGCTGGAGCTTGTTGCGAGTAAGGTGATTGACCACTTGCGGCTCCAGCAACCGAGTATCCACCGGGAGCTGGAGCCTGCGAGTAAGGCGACTGAGCAGCTCCGTATCCGCCTTGCTGCGAGTAAGGTGGCTGGCCGCCTTGTGCGTAAGGTGACTGGCCAGTCCCTGCTGCTGCGTATCCACCTTGAGATGGAGCTTGCGAATAAGGTGACTGACCATATCCACCACCCGAAGCTGGAGGCTGCGAATAAGGAGACTGAGTGGCTCCATATCCACCTGGAGCTTGCGCCTGTTGTTGCGTCCCGTATCCAGTTTGCGGCTGCGAGTAACCAGCCGGAGCTTGGGACGCTTGAGCTGGAGCTGGAGTTGGAGCTGGAGCCGATGCTGCTGCTGGGGTTGCTGCTTGGGAAGAAAGTCGTCCCCCGGAAGCGTCTGAAGTTGCTTCTGGAGCCGGAGCTGCCGGCTGCGCGGCTTCTGCTGGTGGAGCCCCTGCCGATTGCGCTGCTGGCATTGGATATAGTTCCGCAGGTGTAGTTGGAACGCCAGAAGCCGGTTGAGTCGCGGCTGCTGCAGCCGCTGCTGCCGGAGGGAGGTAGTCAGTCGTTCGAGGAGCCATTGCCGGCACTTTGATAGTCTTCTTCTCCTTGATGACTTCCAGTACCTTGTTAGCTTCGTCGATGAAGGCCTCGTAACCTTCAATGTTTCGGATCACAATGTCGATCTGACAGAAAGCATGTGTCAGAATCAGCGTAAGAAAGAACAGAGAGAAAAATAAAAAGGAAAAGAGAAGAAAGAAAAGGAAGTGCTTACTCGCTCAAAGCCTTCGCAGCTGTCTTTAAGAGTTCGAAGAGCAACTTCTGCGCCATCCGCATAGGGGTACCTGAGCGTGATTGTTAGTAACTACCCCAAATAAAAGAAATGCCATACCCGTATATATTGCAAGACAATGGCGGAAATGCAAGATATTTTAGCTTCTCTTTGCGAGCAACCAAGAGAGCAGTCCTGCAGAAGTTGACTTTCGTGAGAACAAAAAAATCGAAAACAGAAATGCTGAACCTGTAAGCTTTTTCTAGAGTTGGATCAGACTCTCGAACACCTGTTTTCTCGTTCTTCTTGTGAACAGCTCCGACTGTGTGAATGACACGATGTACAGGAAGATCAAAGGCTCTAAAACAAGAAAAACGAAAAAACAAAACGAAAAACTCAATACAAAAACTAGAAACAACGACAAAGGTACCTCGTACTGATAGCATCACCCATTTCAGCCTTGATTCCCTGAGGAGCAACATCCGGGAGCCTTTGAGTGCATTCCAAGAGCTTCGAACCAGCAGCTTTGAAAAGAACTACAGAGAAACATACACACGCATTGGAACTATTAAGAAGCATTTGGAGTAAAAGGTGCGAATTACCTGCATTCACAGCTGGTCCTGTGTTGAGCTTCTTGTTTGCTGGAGCAATCTGCGAGGCAGGAAAAAAAAACGAAAAGAAGAACACGAACCTTACAAACGAAAGAAGAGAAGCATAAGAGAGACATACCACTGCATCCTGCTTGCCATCCACAAACCACTTGGACAAGTCCCCAAAGTAAATGGTGCACAGACAAGTTGGCGAGAGCTTGAAGTGTTCTCGCTGCAAGAGCTCCGTCGGTGGCTTTGGCGGTGTCAGCCATTCCATCACCTTGGACTTCTGCTTGGTGGGATCATAAGGCCGCGGAGTTCCGGGCTTTGGACGAGGCGAGCCTGGCAATCCAGGAATCTGGCTCCCTGGAAAGTTGAGTCCCAGAGACCCAGAGAATCCCGAGAAGGGAGGCGGCCGCGAGAACTTCCTATCGGAGGTAGCCGTGGACGCCGTTGGCCTGGTTGGGAGCTCTTTGGGAAGACTATCGGCAGTGCCATTTGTTCCAGACGGCGGTGGCGAGCCTGGAGCTCCAGTGCACGCCCTCACACTGAGAGAGAGCGACGAATTCCTGGTTGCGGCGGGCAAATACGCGAAGTTCCCGGGCCTCACATCGCCAAAGAGGCCAGAGGAATGGATACCTAGCGGAGGCGAGACCCTCGCCTGGCTCACAGCCGCGAGCTGCATCGTCCAGGAATCCCTGCGCGGCCGGGAGCTCTCAGCGCCGGATTGCGAGAAAATGCATCACGAATCTCAGCCATACCTCGGAGAGCGCGGAGGAGCACAGCGCCTTATCCCTTCGCGAGAAATATACGTAGGGCTTATACCAGGGTTTATGAAAGATCTATCTGGAGGCAATCCCGACCGTCGGTTATCAAGCATCTGAAGCCGTCGGATCTAGATATTTCTTTTTTAAAACGAGGCATGTTCTTGGATGGTTTGATCTAATCACATCGATTTTTTTCCCAGGAGATCACATCCCAGCCACTAGAACTAGTGGCCATTGCTCGAAATCGATAGAAAGAACCAGGGCATGGAATTCGTCTATTTGGACCACGCGAGAGGATGATTCGCGGAATCAATCTCTTTTAAATATAGCTCCCACACCACGATGCGATAAGATTCTTCTGGGTGTTCTTCTCGAGCCCTTGGTAGAAGAGATCTTCTAGCTCCCATGGCCACCATGAATGGATCGCCCAAGATCGATCCAGACGCCCTCGTCGATGCCTGGCTCGCGCGATTGGATTCCTCTCTCGCCTCCGGCGATGCATCGGCCGCTGCCACTCTCTTCGAGGAATCCACTTCCTTCTGGCGGGATCTCATCGCGTTCACCTGGAACATCGTCACGGTCGAGGGCCGGTCACAGATCCACGCCATGCTCCAATCCACGCTCGAATCAGTCGCGCCCAAGGGTTGGGTCCGCAACGGTACCGCCAGCTACAGCGCGGACTCGGGCGTCATTGAGGCCTGGATCAAGTTCGAGACGCGCGACGCGGTATGTACGGGGCATTTGCGCCTGATGGCCACTACTTCCCTCTGTCGTACGCTACTCACCGCCATGGAGGGGCTCAAGGATTTCCCAGAGAAGAAGGGCCATACGCGGCCCAAAGGTGTGACGCACGGCGTCATACGGCACCGCGCGTCATGGCTGGACGGGCGCAAGGAAGAGGAGCGGACGCTGGGCAGTACCGTGCAGCCCTATTGCGTCATTGTCGGGGGCGGGCAGGCGGGTATCGGGCTTGCCGCGCGGCTCCGGCAGCTCGGCGTGCCGTGCATCGTGGTAGAGAAGAACCCGCGGCCGGGCGATTCGTGGAGGAGTCGCTACAAATCGCTATGTCTCCACGATCCGGTGTGGTATGATCATCTTCCCTATTTGCCATTCCCGGAGAACTGGCCGATTTTCACGCCCAAGGACAAGATGGGAGATTGGCTCGAGGCTTACACCAAGATCATGGAGATCAACTACTGGACCTCCAGCGAGTGCCTGGGAGCTCGTTTCGATCCACAGTCCGGGGAGTGGGAGGTGAAGATCCTGCGGGATAGGAGCAAGGAGGTGACCTTGCGACCCAAGCAGCTCATCCTGGCGACCGGGATGTCAGGATTTCCCAATGTGCCACGGATTCCCGGGCAGGAGGAATTCGTGGGCGATCTCCATCACTCGAGCAAGCATCCGGGAGGCAAAGCTTACAAGGGGAAGAGAGCGGTGATCCTGGGATCCAACAATTCGGCCCACGACATCGCCGCCGATCTCTGGGAGAATGGCGCCGCGGAGGTGACGATGATCCAGCGATCCTCCACCCACGTAGTTCGATCCGAGTCGCTCCTCCAATTCGTGATGAAAAACACCTACTCGGAATCGGCGGTAGAGTCGGGGCTCACGACTGACAAGGCCGACATGATCTTCGCGAGCGTGCCATACAAGATCATGGGCGATGTTAATCGACCAACCTACGATGCGATCCGAGCCCACGACAAGGATTTCTACGCCGCGCTCACCAAGACTGGATTCATGCTCGACTTTGGCGACGATGACTCGGGGCTCTTCATGAAGTACCTCCGCCGTGGATCCGGCTACTACATCGACGTGGGCGCATCCCAGCTGTTGATCGACGGCGAGATCAAGCTCCGCAGTGGCGTCACCATTGCGTCGCTCAAGCCGAGCTCGGTGGTGCTGAGCGACGGTACGGAGATCGCGGCCGATGTGGTGATTTTGGCCACGGGGTACGGATCCATGAACCAATGGGCCGCGAAGCTAATCTCCCAGGAGGTGGCGGATCGCGTGGGCAAGTGTTGGGGGCTGGGATCGAACACGCGCAAGGATCCCGGGCCGTGGGAGGGGGAGCTCCGGAATATGTGGAAGCCCACCGCGCAGGAAGGGCTGTGGTTCCATGGTGGGAATCTCCACCAGGCTCGTCACTACTCACTCTATCTGGCGCTACAGCTCAAGGCGAGGATGGAAGGAATCACGACCCCGGTGTATGGCATACCCAAGGTCCGCCACCTCAGTTAAGTCAAATCAACTAGTCAATCCTAGTAAATTTGTCAATGATAGTCAAACATTTAAAATCTGAAAAAAGTAATCGGGTATGATCAGCCTGCTAGTGCCTGTGGTGGTAGGGTGCAGTGCAAATCTGAAGCATCGCTTCCTGGGGAACAATGCTCGTCCCACAGCGATCAACGTTACGGGGTGGATTTTTGTCAGCTGCAAGAGACAAGGAGCATTCACTAGAGGGATTGCAGCCAGGCCGGAATCAATGTTTTGTTCATGCAGATGAAGCTGAATTATTATCCACTACTTCTGGCGCTAAATGTAAGACGATTTATTTTCCATTAGCTTAAACAAAGTTTAGGTGGATCTTTTTGTTCCGTGTAGAACATGTTTCTACCAAGAAAAAAAAGGAAAGTTAAATCTAGTTCTTTGTTTCCTTGATTGGGATGAGCTAGAGAAAGAAGATAAAGAACATGATATCCCCATATAACTCCCCTTGTATATAAAGAAATATATAACATTCTTCAACTGATTTGGAGGCAGCAATAGAGCAAGCATATTAGTGAGCACCTCATCAAAGGTTTTGGTTGTGATATGCCCAAAAGCAACAAGCTTGAATAAGGTGGGAATTCCTTTGTTGGCAAAGTCTTGAATACTTTCAGTTTGGCTCTTGACTATTCCACCAAATTTGGTTTTAAACTCAAAGTTTTGCCAAAGACGAGTTTCAAGGTTAGTTGGCAGTCTTGGTGTTGTCAAGATAACAATGATACAGTTTTCCAATTGCTCACCCAAAGATTCCAAGTGCTCATGTGTTGCACTTTTTTCATTCACTAATGCCATCTAGATTATTATGGGCAACTAACATTTCCCAGAGTTTCTTCTCCAACTTAAGATTTCTAGCCAAGGAAATCCTTCCCGTTGAACACTTTAAACAAATATTTATCAAAGAAACACTCCTAATAACTATTTAACATCCAATAGGTTGGCAAAAAGGGTGCTAAGTCAATAAAATAGTTGACTAAAGAATATTTTTGTTACAATATGCACTACCACTTAAAGGGTATTTCAAATTTTTATTTCCGTTTTTTAAATATGCTAAGAATTTTCTTTTGTAATAAATTAATATTAGAAAATATTCTGTCATTATAACTATATCTTAAATCATGTAATTACTACAACTAAACTTTATGTTGTAACTATAAACTATTATATAATATCAGATATTATTATAACTAGAATAAATTATATCTCAAATCCATACATATAGAAGAACTAGGTTACCTTTTTTGTTTTTCTCTCTTCTTCTTTAGTGCATAATCATTAATGAGCTTTGACATGTAAGTTCATTTTTCCTTAATGTACACCTCTCCATAAACTTAGCTACAACTTTTGCATAGAGTGGCATATCATCAAGAGCTTTCTTCATAATAACATGCTAAAACCATTGCACAAAAAGTCAAGGATACAACCACCCTCACAGTAAAAGTGTTGCACAACCATGTTTATCAAAGCTTTTGATTTTTGTGAAAGAAGTTGCATGTAAAAAATATTAAAGGTATTTTTTTGTCTAAAAAGAAATGACTTACCAAGCTTTGCATTTAATGTCATCCATGACAATATTGACTTATTTATGTTGGAGGAGATTTGATGAAAGGTTCAAAGGCAAAGCCACTTTTCCCCTTGTTTTCATTTTTTTGTGAAACAATAGCATTGAAATAACTTTGATTTATATTGCAAAATCAATTACTAATTAGGAAACATAAGAACTTTAAGCATACTTACTTTTTACCTCTAAAACCTTAGTCTATTCATAACTCTAGTATGTAGTTTTTAATTACGACAAAGTGAGTTTGAAAAAACACTTCTACCATCTTAATTATTTGCAATGTCATCCCAAAAGTTAAATACCAATTGAAAGTCCTACAAAATTCATTTGGAAGATTAATACCAAAATAAAGTTGGGTTGGATGACTATCATCATATTTCTTCATTAACCCCCCCCCCCCCCCCCCCCCTACCCCTGACATCTTTGATAAAGCCAAAGGGATTTGTCCAATATTAAAATTCATCAATAAAGGAATTCTGAGAGTTGCAATACATAAACTTCTTCAGCTCCTCAAGAATTAACTTATGCTGTTTAAACATCTTGGTATTTGGAGCTTTTTCATCTTCATTAATTAGAATTGTTATAAAAATCCTTATTAGCATATTTCTTATATGTGTTATAGCCTTTTTGAAGAATGATTTCAGCTAAATCTGGTGGCAAAGTGCTTTTGGTATTTTATTTAGATCATCAATATATAGTTCCATGCAAGCTTGTGAGAAAAATTTCTTCCTTTCTTCTCTAAAACGTAAACGTCTTCCATCTTAAGATTAGTTGGAAAAATATAGTTAAATACAAAATAAATAAAGAGCTTTTTTGGGCTTATTAAATATAATGAATGCTTATAGTGTTTTTAAAGTAGTAGGCTTTCTTTTCTTCTTTTCCAACTGTGTCTTCACTTTGGTAGGTTCGTTAATATTGTTAAATTCCATCAAGAATTCTTTTTTGATAGTTATAAATTGTTTCTCTTTGAACTAGTCTTGGATATTCAAGTTTCACATTTTTTGTTCCACTTTTGGCACCACAACAATATGACAGTTTTCCTGTTCATAATTTATAACTCTAGTACATTTAGGCAGCTCCTCATCCCTATATATGTAGATAGACGAGGTAGGGAACAACCATGGCTCAACAATAGTTGGAATTGCCTTTCACACAGATTTGAAGTACTTGAAAAATAAAGAAAATTAAAACTTGAAAAGTATAAAGTGATGAAAGTGTTACTTATATGCAAGGTGCTAACCAGTTTTTTATATTATTGCATCATTTTTTTGTCCCTTTAGTCTTCATCATCATCCTCTTTTATCTCGGCTTTACTAGACATTAGCTGGAGTTATGGCCAAATTTGTAAAATGCCAAACTTGAATTTATATTTCTTATAATACTCTAACACTATTTTGTACTTCGATCAATTTGCTCTAAATAAAATTTTTTTATCCACCTCCTCAATATACCCAATTGCTTTCTCTGTCACATTAATGTTTATTAGTTTTTTCCTCCACCAAATTCAAAATGACTTATCAGTGGTTAGAATTAAAAAGTGAACAACTTTAGATGACATACTAGTTGCTCTTAACTCTTTGAACACTATTAATTTGTCCAAATTTGG